ACAGCCAGGAAACAGGGAAATGGGACTCCAGTGCTAGCTCTGAGGCTTTTCAGTGGTATACTCCCCACTTCTTTTCTTGCGAAATCAGCAACTGCTTCCAAGAAGCTGACAGAACTCCGGTAAATTCCAAAGAATCCAATTCTTCTTTGATCAGTCCCAAAATCAGGCCTCTAGCCAAGGGTTCAGCTGGAAGGTGGTGGGACTCTTCATGGGGAGAAAGGGAGGATACATGCACCTGGTTGGTCAACTAGCTGGCTGGCTCCAAACTAATTTAGATACTGAGGGCTGAGTTACAGATAAGATCAGCACATATCAGAGGTCTGCAAGAGCACCGAATTGAAGTCCTTACCTGACCTATACTTATGATTTTGAAGCAACCAGGCCTGAGAGGTATTGCTAAATTTGAAATCTGAATCTGAAGCTGCTCACAGATGGATTATCACCAACGCATTTTACAATGCTTCACTTTTTCGCTTAGTGCCTGAGTCCTACAACAGAGAATGACCAAAAAAACTAACTTATTTAACCCCTAACTTAACCCCTTTAAATGGCTAGGGCCTGACAACAGGCCTAAAGTTTTATTACACACTTCTACAACCTAAGAATAGCTCAGCCAGTTTGCATTGAAGTTCCTATAGTTACTGAACAATGTAATAAGCCTGGGATTTTAAGGGGTTAATTGATCCGAGAAAGAACTCTGGCATGTTTCTGACTAGTAGCTGATGTTGAACATCTACGTCCACGGTAAATATGTTGCTGAGGAGACAATGTGCCGGTCATAGCTCAGATTGCGGTCACAAGTGCTACACAGTGTCCATTCTTATCCACAAAGGCCAGGCGCAGCTGCAGGTGTGTATTCCAAATGACCAAGAGCACACCTGATTCTGCTTGTTCAATCAGTTGCTCAGTCTTCAAACTGATCTTGTGAGCTTCTGCTTTGCTGGACTGAAAACCTGCAGCCACATTGGTCCTTTGCTGGTAAGATTGGACACCACTGCTCTGCACTATACAAGGCCACTGTGCTTTTTATCTGATGGAACAACCAGGTCATGAAGTTTCCACAGTGAAGATGCTGCGTTTGATGTAACGTAGTGGGTAATACCGCTGCTTTCAACTCAGTAGACTGGGGTTTAATCCCCTGCCTGTGCAAGCGCACCACATCAAATAGAGTCCTTGAGCAAGACTCCTAGTGCTACGTTTTGTGATGGGTTTATGGTTCAGTGCTACATTTTATTTAATGCTACTTTTAATTAATGATTTATGGTTTAAAATGAGTTATTACTGGTTATTATTTAGCGCCTTAAAATCAGTAATATAAATGTATTAAAAATAAAAAGGTGATCTGTTGCTTGCCAAATAGTGAGCCCACATTCATCTATGCTGTTAAACCTCAGATCTTGTTGGTTACTTATCTTACTATGGCTTTTCAGTCAGCATTAAGCCTGTCAGCTTCAGCAGATATTCATATTCATGAAACAACAGCTCACTGTTGCCCTCTCTATTTATGAGTTATAACTGCAACATTCCTTAACGCTTTAGAAGGATAGTTTTATTGTAAAGTGATACTGAACTAAATTGTAAGATGCTCTGAATATGTGAAAATGTAAATGCCCCTGAGTCATTTGGACTTTTAAAGAGTTTCTTTTTGTGAGCTTTATTTTATCCATGACAAACAGTTGGCAAGATTAGGCTTATTGTACACATTTTAGACTCTACTGGAAAGACAGAAAGACAGTCCCGACCTGAGCCTGATGTTCTATCTGAAAAATCAACTGTTCTTCAGGCTCAGGCATTCCTCTCCTACATACAGTGCTGTGAAAAAGTGTTTGCCCCTTTCTCAGTTTCTTCTGTTTTTACATATTTGTCACACTTTAATGCTTCAGATCATCAAACTACTTTTAATATTAGACCCAGGTAAACATAAAATGCTGTCTGTAATTGATGAATTCATTCACTGAAGGAAAAATGGCCCTATATGAAAAAGTAATTGCCCCCTTAGCTTCTAAATCAGCCAGTTAACCAAATTCAATTGGCTATTGGGTTCAATTTCACTGGCCACGCCCAGGCATGATTACTGACAGACCTTTTGATCTAAATTTCACTTAAATAGAACTTGTCTGGCAATGCAAAGCAGGCTAGAAGGTCTCAAAAAGCAGCACATGATGCCACGTTCAAAAGAGATTCAAATACAGATGTGAAACAAAGTCATTGTAATTTACCAGTCTGGAAAGGGTTACAAAGCCATTCCTAAGGCTCTGGGACTCCAGCGAACCACATTGAGAGCCATTATCTACAAATGGAGAAAACATGAAACAGCCGCTTCCCAGGAGTGGCTGGCCTACCAAAATTTCACCAACAGTGCATTGATAACTCATTCAGGAGGTCACAAAAGAACCAGGAGAACATCTGAAAGAACTGCAGGCTTTACTTGTCTTAGTTAAGGTCAAAGTACACAACTCAACAATAAGAAAGACACTAAGCACAAAAAAAGGGCATCGATGGGAGAGCTGCAAGGCACAAACCAATGCTGACCGAAAAGAACACAAAGGCTCATCTCACATTTGCTAAAAAACATGACCCCCAAGAATTTTGAGATAATGTTCTACGGACTGATGAGTCAAAGGTGCAACGTCTTGGAAGACATGAGTTCCATTACATCTGGTGTAAAGCTAACACTGCATTTCACCATAAGAACATTGAACTTCAAAAAAAAAGAAAAAAAAAAGGTTTGGTTAGATGCACTTAACCCATCTCACCAGCATGGATAGAATCAAGTTCATTTTAGATGATTTTGCACTGCTTCCAGTCACCTTGTGTTTCACACAACTTTTATAGACCTACAAAACTTTCCTGTGAATACAGCAACACTGAATTAGGTTAATAATTCAGTTCAGTTATGCTGCAGGAAAACAAGAAATGCTCTGGAGAAGAGTGGTGGAATCTACATTACTGAAAGGGTGCCAGAATGCTGTTCTAGGTTGTTCTGGTCCAAGTTAACCCCTGCTTATACCACATTCTTTCCCAACTTCAGTTCTGAAGTTAGAACTGGGCAATATGACAGTATTACTCATTATTGTGACAAATTACATTACAGTATGTCACAATATGCTTTTCTGAGCATATCATGAAATATTGTGAGTGCTTAAAAATCACTTTCCAACTACATGTTTGATTAAAAAGAAAGCATAATTAGTCCTGTTTAATTGAATTTAGTGCAGTGAAATGTTGAATACAAGTAACCAGATTCGTATTTTTTGACAGTATTTTTAAAATGCAGTACTACTTTGTTCTAACTTATCAGCTTATATAACTTCTGAAGCTATCATAATACTACATTTTGCCATATCGCCCACCTCTACCTTTAGTACATCCAACAGTATACAGGCTTTGTCACTTCCCCTCCTCCTCCCCATGGAGAAAATGCAATTAACAGCTACAACGAACATGTGTAGTGTTGGGCGTAGTCCCAGTTGGGCTTGAGAAACACTGTTAACATAAAGCAGTGCGTCTGCCGAGTGGTGACTGGGTATGTTATTGTTTGGAGTTGGGAATCCAAACCCATGTAAGTAAAAGGGCAAAGAGAGGTCACTTGAGTTTGACAATCTAAGCTAAACAGTTCTTAGACGTATTTATAGAAACAGCAAACTTTGACTGTCCGTACAGAAGGTCAGCATTCAGCTTTGTATGCTCAATCCAAAAAAGGTCATTGATAAGAAGTGATTTCAGAATAAGTTTAAGTTTGAACACTTCTGGTCAAATGATATGTTTTGTTGTTTTTTAACGTATTGGGAAAAAGCTTGGGTGCTTTCGCTTAAAATTGAGTCTGTGCTAAATTCCTATTTTAAATTGTACTTTTTTCTTCATGAAGAGAGTGGTTTTCTACATTTTAACACCTGGGTCAGCACATATGGACCTGTAGCGCTAAATTCTTAAATGGCCCTGTTATGGGCTGAGATATCCGGTAACTCCCGCCATCATTCCTCGTCTTGAACTTGAGACTGAAATGCATTTTTTTCCTCTTTCCTAATGCAGAGCATGGCCGAAAAGTTCATCTACAACCATTTCCTGTTCAAGCTGATTTTTGCCAGCGCTGTTTTGAGACCCACCCATTCTGCTGCTTCTGTAATGATATCAGAGAGTGGCTGTATTGTAACTTGCCCATGTCTGGATTATGTACAGTGTATGTTTGTGGTCGTTTCTTTTAGGAAATGTTTTACAGTGAGCACTTATTTTTTATGTATTTAGTTTTTAACACAGTATACAGTCATAGACGTCCATAGATAGTGGTGTAGCGTTAGTGATGATTTAAAAATGGCATGTGTTTGGTTTAGTTTGCTTAAGATTTCTGTGGGACTGTTCTCAAACCTCAGAGATGATTGACGATAGGGTCTGCTCAGCTCTCATCGCCCCAGACTGAGGTTTGTTTTTACACGCGGCTGCGACTTTCCTTTGGTCTCGGGTCCCGGCTCGGCGGCCTGGCCAGCGGAAATATAGCAAGGGCCTGAGAAACTCAACCCCCCTCCTTTTTCCTTACCACCTCCACCATGTCTAGCACCATTTATAAGCTTGTTATTCTGAGAATTGAGCTTCTTATTATTTGAATTAATTCTGTGAATTAACCAACAAACGTTTTCACATCATAGTAATCATGATTGTTCTTAATGTTTGTGCATACAAGATGATGGAATGCACTTTCTGAATCAGTTCTCGAAGTGTTGACATAGGTTTGAGGTTTCGGTTGTAGTTTGGTCTGGAGTAACTCGATACCCTGTATTTCGTACTGTAGGCAAAAGGCAACACATATATTTTGGTGAAGTGGCCAAAGGATTTTGGCAAGACTAATAAGAAAGCATGCTAACTGCTCTAAGTCAAGCTTGGGTTAAGAGCCACCAACATACCAAACACTAAAAACTGACATGCTCTACATTGTACTCTATGACTGCTTTAAAACTGTCGTAGTACTCTGAAATTGACTGTCTTCTTTTGCTCTCTTCCACTAGAAAAGCTGCTTGTCCTGACTGTGGCCACACAAGAGACTGATGGCTTTCTCCGCTTCATGCAGTCAGCGAAATACTTCAACTACACTGTGAAAGTAAGACTCAGCCTCCAAATGTTCATTCCTCACCAGTTAACAGACCTCATTTCACCTCACACACTGACCTCATCTTAGTCTTAATTCTTGGAGCCTTTGGTGTTGTGGAGATGTCTGGATTTGTCAGTGGTGAATGGGAGAATCATAAATAAAAAGTGAAAAAAAAAAAGGTTCTGCGTCATGCTCCAGTGGAAATTTAATTCTAGAGCCTAACCAGCATAACCAGAAACCTTACAGTTGTGCCACTGGATAACCCAATATGAGTCTAATATATAGGCTGAACTGGGCGGAAAACCACACGAAAAAAAAATAAAAATAAAATAAAATTATGAAGAAAATGAAGAAAATGTGTTCAAACATAAATTTTAGCATGATAATAATAATAACACAAAAAAATCTAAGAGAGCTAATTAAAAAGCAAGAAGAAGTGGTAATTACTAGAGACTTAAATGCTGTTTATTTGAGTTTAAGAAATGTGACCATTTAGAACAGATGGTCATATTACACTATTCACATGTGGTTATCATAGTCTACATAATGATATTGGTCGTATTTAATTTACACTATTGGCACATAACATTGAATTGTAAGATAAGTGTAAAATTAAACCAGTTGATATTATTGATTACTTTAATTTTTCAACCCCTTAAAACTGTATCGGCCTCAAAATGTTCGTACTGGTTGGGTCTCTATTGAATTTGTATGTAAAATATACTCCAAAGGTTGTAAAGAAATGGTCAGTAGTTTATCATTCCTAGACTTTTATTGAGGCTAGATGGGACCACCACTGTGTTATAATCTTTGGTTTGGTGTTTACAATCAAATTCTATGATATGAATGATATGGATATGCTAAACAGGCCCCCCGTCATGTGGCAGCATTTAAGGAATAGGTCTGAATAGATCTCATGCTACTTCTGTCAGAAGACAAAGAGGATTTACGATGACAAACAATGCATGAAAGTTTGAAATGAGATGATTCTGATCTGTTCAGAAATGAGATTCTGATTAGATTGAAATCATGTCGGTGATTGCAGTTTGTTTTTGGCCTACTCATATATAGTATAGCATTTTGACACAGGAAGATCTAGACTCATCATATGCTCTCGTCTGTTTCAGGTGTTGGGGATGGGTGAAGAATGGAAAGGAGGAGATGTGGGACGCACCATTGGTGGAGGTCAGAAGGTCCGACTACTCAAGAACGCCATGGAGGATCTGGCTGGCCAAGAGGATTTAGTGGTCCTCTTTGTGGACAGGTGAGGTTTAATAAGGAGACACCAAAGGCCGCTGCTCTCTGGATGCACTATGCAGTGTCACACAGCATCACGTAGCATCACTTAGCAGATATAGAACAAAGTGTGGAATGTGGTACAGTGAGTTTGCTGATAAACGTCTACTCATTTAGACTTAATGGAACTAAACTTTGGTAACATTTTATTTGCTACATAACATTGGCATAATACCATAAACTGTCATGGCAGATGTCACATGAGTTGTCATGACAGATTTTGTTCAGTAATGTAACAGTGTCCTGTTACTATTAGTGGTGAATGTCTCTTATATGTATCTCTTACACTCAAGTTTTCGTCTACAAGCATCAGATGCTGCTGAAACTTAGTAACTATTACAAGTAAATATTACAAGCAGGCTCATGTCCATGCAAGGCTAATGGCTAATGGCTAACAGCTAACCCCAAGAGACTGGCTGTTCCTTTCAGTCTCTTTTCCCCCTTTAATTCATTGCATGATGTTGTCTGTGCTTTCAACAACACACCAAACTTACTTATCTCAGACTGCAGCAATATTGAAGGTGAGGACATAGGCGTGTTTTGCACTCTATGTTGTGTTATCTGCATTTATTTGGACCATACCAGCATAAAGGTAATGAAAAAATTAGTAAGAAGAATTTCAGCCGACATACCGATACAGCCTTATTTAAAAGTTTGGGCATGCTTGCTTGATTTAATTTTGTTGGTTTTCTAAGTGAAAATAAGTTAACGAATTCTCTACGAAGAACACACTTCAGCACATTTTAATGTATTTAACATATTGGGGGGCGAAATAAAACAAAATATGGTTTATGCAAAAGTTCTGGCACATTTTAGATTTTATGTCAATACGTTAAACTCAAATAAATAGAAATCGTGCTCTGACATCAGAAGAAAAAGTGATATTTAAGTGACCGAAACAATTTGACCAATTTAAACTTTTGCCCACTTCTAGTATCAAGATTATTATTTAGCGTTAAAGTTAAGGGGAAATTAAGGATACACTATTACTGGCCAAAAAGGAAAAGGCTCCGACAGAGAATTTATTCAGACTCACACGTTGAAGGCTCTTGTGCCAAGGCCTGCATTCCCACACAACGGATGTACTGTACAGTAGAATGGCTGGTCCACTTCCCATGTCCATTCTTATTAAGCCCTTTTGGGTCAAAGGAGGGTCGTTGCTTTTCTTTGCTTTGTGAACTAGATGTCCCGTGAACAAACTTGGCCAACATTTGATCTGTTACTTTATGATTAGGACTAATATGTGGCTAAATTGTGCTTGGCCAAGAACTTTATATATTTGGCAGGAATGTGGAATGTATTTTTTTAATTAAGTATAGAAAATGGCTGTAAAGAACACTGAATCATCTTACACAACAGCACAAAGGCCTGTCTTCTTTTTGGACTGGCTTGGCAAGAGAAATCCTGATACAGCTCTTACTGACATTCCTCAAAATAACAGGGGAATAAGCAACACATTTAAAAAAGATCCACAGCAGTTATACTCACCTCTACTGAAATAGCACCTTCTTCTAAATGTTGGCGTTTTTGTTTGGTTAACTTAATCAGTTAGAATAAGTGGGCTTTCATTTATAGCCATTACTCAAGTGAAATTATGGCATGTCCATTTATAATGAGCACGTAGAGATGCCTTGCAGTTCTGGCCCTGTGTAATAGAAACCCATGTTAATTATCATGATCACAGTGCAGAACAGACCCAGTGTTTTCAGCGTTTTTCATCCCCTGCAGCTTGCATTGTTTTTGTTTACCTAAAGTTGATGTATTCAAACACCTTTCCTTCATACGTGGAAAGTTCTCATTATAGAACTCTGAAGTTTCGAGACTGCTAATTACGAATTCACAGAACTGGAATCAAAGTTAGATTCCAGGTCTATTTAAGGGCTTCGAGTTCAGAGGAAAGTTTATACCCAAGCATTACTCACTAGGCTGGTGCAGAATCAAATTATTCAGAGCGATTATAGTACGCAGCATTTACTTCTCCTTAGTCTGCTCCTCTGAAGTGCTGTTGAGATGCATGGGTGTCTACTAGATAGTGCAGCGCTGGGTGGTTTGCAGTAACATCTCAAGTCTGATGATTTTCTGAGAGACTGAGAGCTGAGTTGATCATCCTCTGGACCTCTGGAGCTGCTGTCATGTTTTCTTTGGCTGAACGGTGGGGTATGACACAGGGACAGATGTGCATTTGTGTGGACAGGTGCAGGCCAGATGTGTGTAAGTTTTGCTTCCCGACTGTAGTTCACTTCCACTTGGACAATTATGGTGAAACATCTCATCGGGGGCATTAATAATGCCTGTAATGTGAGCCTTTAACACTTTTGAAAAGCGTTTTAGCCCTGACAGGCATATCCATGCGTTCTCCCACAAGTTCTGCTCCACGTCATGCACCAGTGTTAGCAGGTGCCGTCCAGTGGGAATGTGGATGTTGTTTCATTCATTCATTCATTCATTCATTCATGCAGTCAGTCATTCATTCAGTCAGTCGGTCAGTCAGTCATTCAGTCATTCATCCCTATTATTCTTCCAAGGGAAAATCACACTTGCAGCTCAGATCATCATAAAGCAACAGAATCAACAATGCAGCTATAGCAAGATGGACACAGCCTATACAGTAGTCATCCCATCCATATGCATGTATACAATGAAATGAAATAATGTTCCTTCAGAGCCAGCGTTTACTGGACCACACAAAGCAAGTGACCATACAGTACGTACTAATGCTGGGTAAAATGGGGTATATATTTTATACAGTTAAACAGTTTCAGGTAAAATGTGCTCTGGGTCATCTTCTCATGTTCCCATAGCAACATCATGTGCCAGTTTTCACAGCAATCAGACAGATATTTCTCAAGATCCACTAAAAAAACTGTTTTAACTGTTTTGTGTGTATTTTTTGATTACTGAACATCATGTATAAATCACAAAATTGATCCATATCCCCCATATGAACTCAGTGTTAAATTTTTGGACCAATTAATCGAGGGTCTGTCAGTACAAATAGCCCCTCAGCTTGTTAGAGTTAACCTCACCTATTGAGTCATGCTAGTCATGCCACTTTTGGCTTAACTGTTCAATAACAGTAGGTTTATGTTTTCATTTGTAGCAGAGATGTGCAGCTTTTCTTGTATTTTGCTCTATTTTAAAATGCTTTTAAAATTGTCTCCCTTACATATAACAGTACTCAAAGGCCCAACTCAGCTCAGAGCCCAACACTAAATACAATACAGTAAATATGTAGGACAGGACGATATGAAACACACACTAGCCATAATATTAAAACCACCTCTTTTACCTATACTCCATTGTCCATTGTATCAGCTTCACTTACCATATAGTTTCACTTTGTAGTTTTACAATTACAGACTGTAGTCCAACTGTTTCACTGCATACTTTGTTAGCCCCCTTTTAGCCTGTTTTTCAATAGTCAGGACCCCCACAAGACCACCGCAGAGCAGCTTGGTGCTAGTTCCTCCTCAGAGGATTGGTGTGTCTGGGCCCTTATCTGGTCAGTAGCGGTCCTATGGTGGTCCACTTACAGTGATTGTCAGGGTAGAGAGTGACTGACAAATTGTGCAGCAACAGATTATGGATTACAGTCAGTACTTGAAGGGGTTTGTTCCATAAAATAAGTATCAATGTTATGTTATAATTAATACTACCTTTATTAGAGAAATAAAAATGTATTTTCCCTATGCGCCAGCTTTGATATACTTATGGTCATATCGCATTTTGGAATAAAACTCTTCAGTTGTAACCCTACAAAGTGCACTTCTGTGGTAGGTGTTTCTGATAAAATGTACAATAAGTCGAAGTACAAGGTAGGTGTTTCTAATAAACTGTGTACACTGACAACTTAGTGTATGTTGACATGGCTGATTGCTGACAGGCACGATTTTGCTAATATGTTTCATCCCTCTTCCTCTCTTTCTGCTCTTTCCTCTCTCTTTTATTTCCCCTTTTAGTTATGATCTTATCTTTGCGGGAGCGCCGGAGGAGCTCCTGAGGAAGTTCCAGCAGGCCAATCATAAGGTGTTGTTTGCTGCAGAGGGTGTGATTTGGCCAGATTCACGGCTGTCAGAGAAGTACCCCTACGTCCGCAGCGGGAAGCGCTTCCTCAACTCTGGAGGTGGGTGATGGGTTCACTTGGAAACAGGGGGATCATGAGAAATAGGATTTATTATTTTTCTGGCCTGTAGTGATGTTCATGGATTCTTCTGTCATATGGGAGGAATAAAGCACTCTGTTTTGGTGGTGGATTCTCCCCACAGGGACGCTGCTTGTAATGACACATCACCGTGTTTGTCGTGATGAACTGTTACGTGATCAGTCAGTAGTGGCCCTAATAGAAGCAATGATTTATAGTGCGCATATTTTCTTTGGCAAAGCCAACCCTTCACTCTAACATTCGCTCATGTATACACACTGCAATGTGGGAGGTCGTGTTTTAATGTAACATATCAGGGGAATGCCTCTCAGCCCACAGGGTCACGGCCAGCAGCTATTTTAGCTTTACGTGCCCAGTGCAGCTGTGTGCATCTGCAGGGTTGGGCAGAGTAATATAGGCGATGTGATTATATTGAACACACCAAAACACTGTTTTGAGTTCCATTATCTGCATTCTTGAATACAATAAGAGAAAGAAAATGTTTTCTCTGTAAACTGCCGGCCAGTGGCCAGTCACCCTGTGGTATTTCCTGAGAGACACCAGGCATACTGCTCCATTCATGTCAGGGCACTGAGTGAATAGCGTATTCATCTGAGAGAGTGAGTATGTGTTTGAGAAAGAGAGAGAGAAAGAGAGAGAGGCAAAGAGCAATGAAGAGAGAGAGAGAGAGAGAGAGAGAGAGAGATGTAGAGAAAGAAAGAGAGAGTGGCGAAGCTAGATGAAGAGAGGGAGAGGCTCAGAGAGCTGGGGAGAGAGAGAAAAATAGGCAATGAGAGAAGAGAAAGAAAGTAAGAGAGAGAGGCAAAGAGAGGAGAACATGAAAAAGAAAGAGGAGCGATGAGGGGAGAACGAGGAGAGAAAGGCAACGAGAGGAGAGAGAGTGGCAAAGGAAGAGAGAGGCAAGATAGATAAGAGAAGCAAAGTGAAAGAGAGGAAAGAGAAATGAAAACATGGAGAGAGAGCGAGAGGAGAGAGAGAGAGAGAGAGAGAGAGAGAGAGAGAGAGAGAGAGAGAGAGAGGGAGAGAGAGAAAGAGCGCTTTACTTTGCCCAAGCCTGATTTCTTGCCAACCTCTGCCTCTCTGCTTTTCACTTTTATCTCCATCCCTCCTTTCCTCATCTCAATCATTCTGCCGCTAATCCTTAGAAGCTTAACTATGAGTATCAGGGATGCACTGAAATTCCAGCCACTGAAAAAAGTTTGCAGGAAATGTTCAAAGATTGCACTTTAAACCTTTAACAGAAAATGAAAAAGGCCAAAGAATTTCAACTAAAAAAGAAGATTAAATAGGCCTACAGTGACCTGTCAGTATCTAAGACTTTATAAATAAACGTAATAGTAATGAAAATGGGAAATAGGGACTGTTTTTCCCTTTGCTTTGCTGGGCTGGTCATCACAGACATGTTCAAACAGTTTGAGTGGCAGCAGATCAACAGTGAAATCATGATCATCTCCACTACATGTTTGATACCACTTGAAAACATGACATCCTGTAAGATACACAGAATACAGCAAAACAACAGAAGCAGAGAACCAACATCATTTGTAGCCATCATTTTTGAAAAGATGGAGAAAAAAATGTCATTGCCAAATTTAAAATGCAGGACTTAAAATACCCCCCAAACTACATGTTTTGCTGATGTTCTTTAGGGAACAAACTTAAATATGATATTTTCCTACAACATTTAGTGCACAATTTCTATTTATTTAATAGTTTAACATATTTAAATAAAAATATAAAATATAAAATGTGCCATAACTCTTTTTTATGTGTTTTCTTTCAGTATGTTAAATTCAGCAAGTAAACAGTGTTTGTGCAATAAAATGTGCAGAAGTGTGTTCTCTGTAGAGGATGTGTAACTTATTTTCTCTTAGAAAATCAACCAGGGGGGCCTGAATTGATGACCATAACTAAATGTAATAGAATGAAATGCAAAGGATGATCAGACATTCTCTGTTGTCAAGGATTTCATGGCACATACTGTAATAATTGTAGTATTTTTTTATGCAAAGTTTTTATTTGTCTTTTTTTCATTTTTTGGCTCAGTATGTTCTGAAATTTGATTTCAGATTCAGCCAAAATTACCAATCAAATATGATTACACTCTTCATTACATAGCGAGTAATGCAGTTAACCACACTCTATTTAAATTCTGTAAAAATTCTGGCAAATAATGTAGAGGATTTTTTTTTTCTTTCCACTAAATAAGACTATATGCACGGCAGTAACTTCTCATTGAATTCTTTTCTTAATAAAATATCTCATCTTCTACTTACAAACACAAATTTGGTATCGATTGAAAGTTTAGAATCTGCACTTTCAACAGAATTTCATTTGTTTCAATGAGCTACGAGCAGGAAATTACTATAAAATGACAACATCCCTCTGATATTGCGAGAGATTACTGAGACTTTTAGTGGCAAACTAAAGAGCAGTTCCATCAGGGCCTCCGCGCTCATCAGGCTGTGGTCATAGCTGCTCTGAAATCACCATGTTTATCCCGTCTGCTATTTTGAACAGCGGAATTACTGCTTAGACTGCGGCGGTCGGTGAGTCTTGTGCAGCCGTTTTGTGGGTCCACCTCCTGTCCGGTCTGGACAAATCCGTGGAATTAAAGCGAGGGCCTTTATTTGTTTTGGGCTTCCTGTTCGATACGCTGGACCTTGTTGGAATTGAGGGTTGATTGTGTCCCTGCAGCGATCTGCCAGAATGCAGTGGCAAAAGTTGTATTGCTTTTGGACTAGAGTCAGTAAGGCCACATAAAGCATAATTGACCCGTAGGTTTCTCAGGCCAGGAGTGAAAACTGGAGGCCGTGTGTTTGTGTGTGTGGAGGGGGGTCAGCTCTCTTTTTGACTTAACCATTACAGCGTACAGGTGTTATGCTGTTAAGGAAAAAGGTCATCCTGTTATGAGAGGGGAAAAAATGTATTGAACCCACATGTCATGATGCCCTTCCATCTGCGCTTAAGGCTCCTGCGGCAGCTCTCTGTGTAGCGGTCTTCACTTTATTACTCAGTAGTAAAGAAAAATTAATGTCACCACATCTAAAATAATGTTTTGCATAGTTGGCGGCCAGTTTAATTAAGCAATTGCTGTGGTGCTTGAATTATTTCCTCATGCGCGCAAAGGCCTTTAGTTTTTATTGTTTCTTTCTGTTATCTGAAGACCACAATAGAATAAATCCCACAGTCAGTTTGTCTGTGCTTACATACAGATGTCATGACTGACTCTCTGCACAGGGATGGGCTTACTTACTCTGTCTTTTCTTTACACCAGCAGTTTGTTTTTTGCAGTAAGCTGCACCCCACTCTCCTAGGGTTCTTCACCAAATCCCATATTTAACCAGTGGATTCCCCTATTTGCTAGCAAGTCATTAACCTCACCTTCCCCCTTTTTTTCTAATTAAATGGCAAACAAAATATGAAAATATAATCAAATATGTATGTTTTTGCTGTCAGAGCAAAACCTCCTATCTCCAGAAAAGTAACTTTACAGGAGAATGGAAAAAAAAAAAAAACTTTCAATGTAGGTTCATGTAAGAAGTTAACATTCTCAAATCATTTTGGATTGTTTTTATTTGTCCATTCATCATGCAATGTTGACACAATGTACGTGACAGCTGGCGTTTTCAAACTATGTCAAAAAATTAAATCGACAAAAATGGAGATACAGAGTTTTGTTCCGACAGCACCGATTTGCTTTTTCGCTGGCTATGATAATGCTTACTTCTGCTAGTGCCCCAATGACTTTTCCCATGTCAAGCTAACAGGTTTAATACTGCACAGCTGTATGAAAGTTTGGGTGCCCCTGGTCAAATTACGTTTCATTGATTTTCCAAGTGAGAATAAGTGAACACGTCCTCTGCAGAGAACACACTTCTGTATTTTAATACCCAATTACTGTTTATTTGTTCCGATGGTGCCGATTTGATTTTCCATGGCTACGATGATGCTTACTTCTGCTAGTGCCCCAGTTCCTTTTCCCATGTTAAGTTAGCATCAAGATAACAGGTTTAATACTACACATTTGTTTGAAGCTCTTAATGGACAACCAATTTTTTTATTTTGTATGTTACAGTCAACTATTCTGTAAACATTTATACTGGAAGCCTAAAGGCTGTTATACTCAGAATGTGATACAAAATAAGAATTAAAGGGCAATAATTTTGCTGTGTATTTCACAAAGTGAACGAACAAAACTGTGTCTTCAAGTGCATAAAAATATCCTTCATGAAATGGGCGACGGTGACTTTAGACAGACTCCTTTCCATTTAAGTAAAAGTAGTGTGGAGAGGTCCGTAGCCCAATTTGAGCTGCTTTTGGAGATGCTAGCACCACCCACAACAAAGCAGAAGGCTTATTCTTTTAACGTCTATCAAAAATACGTAATTGCTGGGACACGTCTGACCCGTCATCCATCAGCAAAGACAACAGTGATTGGCTGGGTGAGTTCATGTCGCCTGTGTACAAGTGTGCAAAAACTAACCGGATAGTGATTGAAATAATGTTGCCTCCACCATCTGCATCTGAAAAATCACACTTAACGCACAAGATGTCATCAATTATACACATATTTCAATTTATTTATTGATGTCTGAATAAAACCAATTAATTAATTGTGCTTGGTGTGTAAAGGCCTTAACTCTGAACTGGATTAGCTTGTCATTCTGTTGGCAGTCTGCTGAACTGGTTGATTGTCAAAACCACATTCTTACATAGAGCATGTTTACTATGGTTCCGTGCATTCTGCTTTATATACATGGGATTTGTGAGTACAAACATACAATTGTGTGCAAAGTTTGGGTGCCTCTGGTCAGAAAGCATTGATTTTCTGAGTGAAAATAAAATCAGTACATGCTCTATGGAGTACGGTTCTGTACTTTTACTACCGAATTACGGTTTATTTGCTGAGTTTAACATTTTTTGGGGAAAAAAAAACAAACATAATGTGGCCTGCACAGTACTTTTTCTAAATATTTTATTTTTTAGCCTTTTTTTCAATATGTTAAATTTCAGCAACTAAACAGAAATTGTGCTGTAAAATTTACAGAAAAATGCCATTTTAAAACGTGCTCTCTATTCAGGATGTGTTAACTTATTTTCATTTAGAAAATCAACTAAACATGTGTTTTGACTGGAGCTATTTAAACCTTTGTAAACAATTGTTTCTGTATTTGTAAGATCCTGCATTTTTTCCCTCATTCAAGTCAGGTGGGCTCTAAACCTAGAAATGCTGTGGTTACGCTTGCTGTGATTGTTTAAATCTGTGTCTCTGATCCTCTCAGAGGATGGAACATTAGAGCTTGTGAAACCAGAACTGCTGTGTGTCTCTACAAACCACTGTTAGCATGCCTGTTTAATACTGGGCTATGTTCGTTTATTGAAAACCAGCAGATGTGAAACATTTTGACAATTTTAGGCTGTGCTGCCAGTGTGTAGATCAGTTTATGCTGGATATATGTGTCAACCTGAGGTGAAACAGCCAAGGATTTAAGGGTTAACATGGATATGAGAATGACAGGGAATATGACAAGGAAAAGCCTCAATATATCCCCATTTATAACCTCTCCGAATATACATGGCTCCTCTCTATCTTCATCCGTTCCAGAATGAAATGTGAATATTGTCGAATATGTATGTTTATACAGATTAAAGGGCATGCCTGTCAGAATTATGGCTCTGTTTATTCAGTGGCTTACCTAAACATCAGGAATGCCTACTAATACTTCCAAAAGTCTATTTCTGAAGCAGAGTTCAACGGCCCATTTAGAGGAACATTTTGAGTCCGTAGATGGTCTAAGTGAGGGTCCAGAATCCGTTTTTTTCTTTCTCTCTTTCTCTGTTCATTCTGCTTCTCATGCGCAACACTCATCCTACAGACTATATGCATGGAGATTGAGGCCATCGTAATGATGGATCCTAAACTGCACACTGACCAACAACATAGCCAAACCCTGCAATTTTCAGTTGTGGTCGGTGTTCTTCAGGAAGATGCGGAGAATGGAAAAAAGCACATGGGTCGCTATGGAGAGTGCAGAATAGGAATGAGTACTACTTGACTTATTTTTCAGTTCACCACCAAGTAATACCAAGGCTAGTGTTCAATATCAGTATGTCTTCTTGTGCACATTGAATTGCACAAGAAGACATACTGATTTGCTCAGAATTGAAAACAGAGTTCCACCAGAAAGACTCCAGAGATGAACGCGAAGGAAGGAAAATAGTTTTTAATCTTAATAATATTTAACAATTGATAGATAACAATTTTTTAAGTTAAAGTACTTGGCGTGGGCCCCATCGTCAGCCCAGGTCGTATTTGATTGACACTAATTTCTCTGGGAAATACGTACCACTACCTTGAAAATTCCAATTCCTTTTCTACCATCCTCAAATCCCCAGGGCTAACTTAATGGAGGGATTCTACAACACTGTAGACTTCAGGCAGTGCTATGTCTTGAGACTCATTGAGTTTTTGTCACAACCCAATGGCGAAGAGCTACTCTCAGAGTTAATAGATATTCACATGCTACGTACCTTTATGTTATATATCCATTCAAAATATAATGTTCAAAAGCTGGATCTGAGCCATCTGTGCATGGCAATTTCAAATGATTTCAGTAAACCACCATTTCTTGAATCTAGAGTAAGTGCGAGCTACCATTAACTAATGTTAGCTCTTCTTACCCGATAGCAGAGTGGGCTGGTGGTAAGCTAAGTGTAGTGCAAACTGCTAGGATAGTAATCTGCCTGTATTCTGTTTTACTGTACCTCATTCAGTGAGCACTCAAGCTATATTTGTATGATGCATTAATTCGGGAGAGTGGAGGGGAAGTCTGTGAGTAAAAGAAATGCAGTTGGGAGCTGAACGAGTCTCAGGACCTTCAATTCCAGCTCCACCTTACTTAAAAACATAGTTCTTCAAGGGTTCTTTATTAAAGTGTGTACTTTGCGGTGCCTTCCAGCACTTGTTGCTCATTTTCTCAGCGCTGTCCATGAGAAATCACACTACGGGGAGGCTTTTGGGCCAGCGCCAGGGTTCACCCTGAGACTGAGGCATTTCCACAGCTGCCATAATTGACATATAGGAACCGCTGCGTCTGGCCACTCTATAACTCCAGCTCTTTTAAATCCTAAACTTTCCTTTATGGAGTACACACCATAAAGAGGCTGTGATGTTGTTTGCAGGCTTTATCGGCCACGCCCCATACATAAACAAGCTGGTGAAGCAGTGGAACCTGCACGACAACGACGACGACCAGCTCTTCTATACCAAGATCTACTTGGACCCCCTGCAGAGGGTGAGTGTACAGTGGTGGACTCTGAAAGTCCACAGCTACTCTGAGAGCCGGCACTGTAAGCCATGCTTGTAACTTAACCACATGTTGTTATAAAACGCACGAAAACACATCACACTCTCGGAAAACAAACAAACAGGCTAAAAATACACGGCTCTGCTGGTCGCCTGAGGATAAGGGTCACGTGGTCACGCTGTTCAAGCTTTGGCTTCATCTTTTGTCCATGTGTGTTTTAGGAGAGCCTTAATATGACTCTGGACCACAAGTGCCAGATTTTCCAGAATCTAAATGGAGCAGTGGGTGAGTGAATTCAAGAAAATGCCTAAAATGATCTAAATTGTTTGTAAATAGAGTGGAGAGTGTGCCTTGATGTACTGTACTACAGTGCCCATATCTTAAAAAGTTATTTTCAAGTTATTGTTTTAGGCTTTAACTGACTACAACAGTGTGGTGCATGCGGTCATAACATTGTCAGATCACCTTTCAAAGTAATTGCTGAGAAGGACTGTTTTCATGTGGAAGTTGACCACTTCTTGGATGGCTGGACTGTAAAGAATAGAACTAGACTGTAAGTCCACTGTTTCGTTTACTTGCAGACGAAGTCTTGATGAAGTTCGGCACTGATCGCGTTCGAGTCAGAAACACCGTCTACGACAGTCTTCCCGTGATCATCCATGGCAACATAAACACCAAAGTAAGTGGCTGCCTTCCTTCTTAGGTCAAAGAGCACATTGTGGGTGTAAAAAGCAGACGCTAACCAAAACAACTGACCCATTTCCTGTGCACATCAGTCATGCGTGAAGTCTTTTCCCAAACACTCTGCAGTCTTCATGACGTGCGGCGCAGATTTATATGATTCCACTATTAAAATATCCCCAGCCAAATCTGGGGGCGTATGATTTTGACAGACTCCGAATGAAGTGAGGGCCTTTGAGCTGCCAGAGAATCCAGCTGATAGTTTACTGGAGGGCGAGGGCCTGGGCCAAGAATGCAGGCTTACTGCCTAGCTCTCATGTCGGACCCCGGAGTTGTCCAGGAAAACAGTTGGGGTAGGATGTCTGGACGATAGAGTAACCTCCTCCCCCAGACCAACCTTAGCTTTTCTTCCCGAGACACTAGCCTGCTGTTTCCATGATAGCTTAAACAAACCTTGCACGGTGTTGAGTCATCTTCTCCAACCCCTTAAACATCTGTCTGTATTGCTCTTAATGACTAATCATTGTTGGCCAAAGGATGAACCTCCACACCCCCTTATTTAGGGAGGCTGGTTCTTATGAAGGTAAAGGAATAATTTGGGACAAAATCAAATGAACTTCACAGGTCTGAGTCAAGTCTCGAGTCTCTGGGGTGCGAGTTCAAGTAAAGTCACAAGTCTTTAGTAAAGATATTTAGTTTAGTCTTGCTTTTAGCTGCTAACATTGCTTTGTACAAAAGTAAATACCTATCATAACCTATACCTGTTGACACAGCTTCAAATAACAAGCCTTTCATTATAGAAAAACCTTCAATTTAAGGCACAGAACTGAAGCGCTACACAGAGTAAATGTGTGTTTAAAGTTTAAAGAAAAAAAAGACAAAACAGCTTGAAATCACTGGTCAGTCTGTAGCTTGTATAGCAAGTAATATAATAGCTAAGCCGAAGGTTTATTAAGTTTTAAAGGAATATGATCTGTAACTTAATACAACTTAAGCAAGTTGACAATTTCAGTGAAATTTAGCTACCGCGCTAGCGAGCATACATGCTGACTACATGCTAATTTCAAGATATTTTGCCTCTTTATTTAACACACTGCATGTACTGCATGTAGTGCCTCATTCTGTCCATCAAAATGAAGGTTTATCTGTAAGGAAAGCCTTGTTACTTGAAGTCATATTAAACCTGACGTCTTTAGTGTTGAGTCTTTAGTGTTGTGTCACGAATCAGTTAAGGGTCAAAGTGAAAGTCCAAGTCAAGGCACGAGTCCATTAATGTGACTTATGTGCACCTCAAATCCAAGCCATTGACTTGAGCCACCATCTCTGTTCACAGTTTACCCCAAATGTAGTCCATCATCCAAGGTGTTCCAAGTTTATAGATAACATACTCATCTATAAAAATGGACAAAACGTGTGTAGCATAGCTAAAACCAGTAGTCACAGCCTTCTTGAAACCTGAAGTTTGACTGTAGTTTTGTCCATATTCATAGATTTGTCCATGTTCATGGCTGACAGTATGTTGGACAGTGAGATTACTTAACATGTTCATCATGGTTTGAGACAAGCATGTGATAATTTAGGCATGAAATCTTCAAGTTTTGAGATAGTGGCTTTCATTAATTTTTGGCCGCATTGGCCTCGTAGCCGAAGAAGCAAACCTCAGACACTTGCTGATAAACTACATTTGGGATAAGTTGGAACTTGTGTAAATTTGATTTTCTGCCAGATTATTCCTTTAAGTGGACGTGCAGTCCAAGGCAGGCCTCCGGGCTCTGCAGGTTTCCCTTAGGGACAGTTGATCTTTTACTGCTGTGTAAATGAGAGTTCATACAATGCCTATAAATGTAAGTGAGGCTGTTAAGAAGAAGAAGCAGCAGCCGTGAGTTATTACTGCAGAGTGAAGACAGCTGTCTGGTTTATGTCTTCTCTCTATTTCTAAACATTGAGAGCCTCCCAGTTTCCCTTTTACCCTGTTGACCTCAGTGAACCCAAGATCATAATAATAATCCAGTCGCTAATACGGCCATGTTGATCTGTAATTGATGCAAGCATAATCCAGGATTGCCTGCAACATTAACAAGCTTAACTGGATGCAGATCCTGAAAAGAGTTGCATGTGTAGGCCATCTGTCATTGGCTTTAGAGTCGTTGGACTGGACGGAGGATTCCCCCTTTTTTAGTTTTACAATCCTGGCGTCTAGTGATGAAAATCAGCACGGTAGTGTAAGCTTGTCGGCCTGTACTGGATCAGCATCCAACCTGATCACACATGAGCTTAAACTACTGCTGTTTCTGCCACAGAGCAGCATAAAAAGCCTAAAATAAATGCTTCAGTGACTGTCACTCCTCTCATCTCTTTCTTGTTTCCCTCTCTTCCTCTCTTGCACTGTCTCTGTCTGTTTAAAATGATACGAATGCTGCTTTCCTTGCGTCTACCGTCACCCTTTAATTCTGCTATAATTATGTCTTGGCACATCATCCAGGTTTTTTTTTTATATGCTTAAATGTTCCAGACAGAGATAGGCTTTGGCTCTAAACTTGAACACAGTAGTCGAGACCCAAACATAGTGAAGCCACTGGCAAATCTTGCCACTGGAATTCCAGCCTCTTTATAGGGAGGTACCTCAGATGTATTTAAGGCTCATTAGCTCACCCTGACTTCCCTTCCCTGGCTGGCTAAATCCGCCGCGTCGATACGCCGTAAATCCACGCTTTTCCTTATGTTAAAGGTTACGGCTGCACTGGAAAAAGCAGCAATGATTATAGGCCAGTTTGTCAATATAAATTTGACAGGAGAAACCATTTTGGTCTGCTGTCCTTTGGTGTGACCTGAGAAAAACCCTGAGAAAGGGTGGATGTATCACTTCCTACGAGAACTGTAAATCTGCATCCTAACCACCATGAATGTATATACAGTTAAGGTTCACACGAGGCCTTTCTTTTGCTATATGGATGTTTTTGAAGCAATATATATTAAATGAATAATTAAGCTGTGGAAGCCTGTAATTTTGTCATGGGAAAGGGATGTTCTTAGGCACAAAGTGATGTGCCTAAAACCCAATTATCTGTGGTAAAAATCAGCATAAAATATGATAAAATGCTCTACAATTTAATAAATAATTTGTTATAATGAAAAAAACATTTGCATAAATAAATAAATAAATAAATAAATAAATAAATAAATAAAATACTTCCACCAAGAAATACAGTTAGCTCATTTAGAGATTTTTTTAGTTCATCTTATTTTTTTCCCCAAATAAAAAAATAGAAAAAAAATAAAAGTAAAACATAGAAAAATAGAAATAAAAAGTAACAATTAAAAATGTTGCACTAAAAGTTGCTGAAAAATATCATATTCAAATCAGCTCTCTGGAAAGTATGAATTAAATTACTTTCACTTAGAAATTTTTTTCTTTTTAAAGTAGATGACTATTGAGTTTTTGCTGTGTTTCCTCTTTAATCTTCTAAAACAAATTCCTTCTATTTTTTCAGATCTATTTGAATTACTTGGCCAACTACGTCCCGAATGCCTGGACCTACGAGCGAGGCTGTGGTGTGTGTGACCAAGACATGGTGGATTTGTCTCAACTCGCAGTGAGTAAACCAGCAAGAACCACGACTGCTTTCTCTTCCCATCTCGCCACAGAGATTCCTCTAAAAATGATCTCAGCAGCTGAAATTTGAGAATGAATTTCTCTTTCTAGGTGCGTGCATGAGGGCATGTACATTATATGTTAGGCATAAGCCAGGGACACGGTTATTTCTCAATTTGAACCTTGAGATACACCAGGACGAGGGAGCTTCGTCCATCAGGTCCAACAATAACAGCTGGCCCTGTCCTGCCTCCTTCCACTCCCTTCTTATAGGAGCATAAACCCTCCTGAGAATCCTCTCTAAGAAAGAGGAAGCTCTGCTGTGCTGTGGTGCAGGAAATGGCTTTCTGGTTTTTAGAAGGGCTCACTTAAAGGGGTGTCACTGTAGACCAGGCCGCCTTTTTAGTGGGCTACACAGTATGGCTTTTCATGCAGAGGGTAAGTTACAGTGGTTGCCCTGAAAATTTGTTCAGGAGGGTTTGGCCAAGGCTGGCAGAGAGGGGACCTAAGAGAGGAGGAACTGTTCTGTTTAGGCCTATCACTCTCACAACTGTCTGCTGCTTAGCATCCAGCCTCCCCCCTCAGCTCTGACTGGCTCACCATAGGATAATTGCTACCACATGGCAGGAAAGTTAAACTTAACCAGCACAAATTCAAGTCTCAGGTCAGGCAGTTCATATCTTAGAGGACGTCATCAGTCCAAAAATGCTAATGTGGCTAACAGTGATTAGGACATTCATGGAGGACATGAGGACATGATGTTGTTGGTGTAATTCCAGGTGATGCCTGCTGTATTTCTTCCAGTCATTCTCCTGAATGTTTATCAACATACTTTTGATATGCTGCTTGTAATTAAATGGTTAAAATGTAAACAGAGTAGCTCAGTGGTTTGATGTGAGGTGGTTCACCGTAGAGAAGCTTACTGACTCGGGTTTCGTCACAGTGGTGATGATAGGAACCAGGAGTCACAATGTCTACACTGCATACATACCAAATGTATTTACTTTCCAAATCCACAAGTGGACCTACATGCCTGTTTATAGTGTTTGTATATAATTTTGATGCTAAAATTGTAGTAAGCCTTAAAAATAAGTTTTCTTTGGGGATTGTTTTTAAAAAGATGGGTGGTCAAGGGTTAGTAAAGACAGCGGTTCTATATAGAACCATGAACACATTTTGCGTGCTCAAATGGTTCTTTGCATGGTGAAATCGTTCTTCAGATTGATAGAGAATGTGTTGTATATAGTTCTATATAAAATCATTTCGAAAATGGTTCTTCTGTTGTTACAAGCTTGACATAGTAACAATAGCAGAACCCTTTTGGTGCTATATTGAGCACTTTTCAAAGAATGTTCTATAAAGAACTATTAAACCTTAACTCAAAACTAGCATATTTTAAACTGCGAGGGAGCTTTTAGTGACATTAATCTGTTTTGCCGTCTGCTTCTTATCAGCACCACTGTGAACAATCCTGAATTAGTGAGTTCTCTAGAAAAGCGCATTTCACATCAAATCATTCTGAATTACCTTGTTTGCCTCTTAAAGCTTTAATCGTACCAAAATGGCTACTTAAAATTTCATTTTAAAGGCTTAACATACACATAACAATTAAAATATTTAAATATTTTTAGTTATTGTCGGTCTCAGAACAAAACCTTCTGTCTCCAAAATGGTGACTTTGCAGGGGAATCTCAACTTATATTGAAAGTTAATGTAACAAGATTTAAGTAATTTTAGAGCATTTCTGTTTGTCCATTCATCATGAAATTACGACACAATGTAAGGGTAGCTGCAATAACGGCAGTGACAGCTGGAAAAAATATCCAAAGATAATATGTTGCAAATGCTGCAAATGTATAAATTATGACTCACACATGATGCCATAGCTAGAATAATATGGCATATCAAAAATAGGAGCTAGAAATATGGCTGACTATCAGTTGTGTTGCTTGCAACTTTGTTTTTGAATTTCTTTGTGTAACATGGAGATTATGTTGCAGGCAACAGTTGCATGAAAAGTTGCAGGAAAGTTTCACCATGTAGAGCCAGCCTTAGGGGGCAGGTTAATGCAATTGAGTGACAAACAGGTGAACATTAGACAGCAATTTGAGAGGAATGAAACCGAGACAAACACAGAAATTGATATGTATAATAAAAATAAATAGAAAACTCTTTTTCCACATTCAGATTGCGTTGATCTTTCTGTTGGTGTTATACAGCTCCAGGTGTTCAAACACAGAACTAAACTAGAGACAAAACTAGAGATCAGGCATAATTAATAGTGATTGGTCAGCCAATCAATAGTCATTCTTCTGTGGTGCTTGTTTTGACAGTTTTTCAACTTAAACACAGTTTAAAAACATTATACATGTTAGAGGAGTGCTATTTAGTCATGATGTGCTTAGCTCTGTAGACAACTTTGAAAATAAGTGCACTTTGGAGAGGTAGGTGTCATTTGAGCGTCCCCTTCCCTTTTCTCATGCTCTTAATTTTCATTGGTGGGATTCAGATTGTGTCATCGGCCTGGTAGCACTACTAGATTACATACAGAATCAGGTTAGAAAAATCAGATTTGTTTGATATACTCTTGACTGCTCTGAAACATAATTGAGGGGCCAAAAATCTCAGTCTGCCCCTCATACACTACTAAATTATCTCTCTGTCATTGGTCAGCTCTAACTGCCCCAAAATCTGCAGGCTAGAGCCAACTTGCCCAGACTTAGCCTGACAGAGAATCAGAGCTAAAATCTTGGTGAAAATAGTGAGAATCCAGCTTCAGTCACACTTGAGGAAAATGTTCCTTTTCTTTCCAACACATTTTGGCAAGATGTCGGCAGGATTTGGGCAGCATGCATATTACAGAAATATTGGTAATGTAATATGAAGAATGATGAAATGTGAAGTTCAGAGCTTCTATAGAAATTACAGTAGATGACCTCTCTGGAGTTCACTGCATCATCCTTGCCATCTGTTGCATTAATGAGAATTCAAGGACAGCCATAATAACCACTTTCAACCTCACCGCAGCTGTAAGGTCTGGATCATTTTACAGAAGATTGTGAATGTGTGGAATATTCGCGTAGATGACTGCCACGCTAATGAATGAGTGTGCTGAAACACATATGTGTCTTTTGCTATAAATCAGTTAAGACAGAGTGTTGTCTCTTTTTCCAGTGCTTCAGCAAAACCTTGGTTTTGCCACAGAATTATGGAACTGAACACAATGTCTTATTTCTGCAAAGATTTGTGAACATTCCCACTCAAATCCAATGAAGCATCCCTTATCTCTCATCAGCCGCTGGTGCATCCCATTTTGGAGCCAGTTATTTCTCATTGCATTTTCAGACACAGAGATTGTGCACATGTTCTTCTCCGCTTGCAACAAAGAGGTGAAATCAGAGTGTAACTGGAAGGGAAGAAGGTAAAGTAAATAAAAATAACTATACAAATAAAAACAAGTGAAAAGAAAAGGGAAAACCTGTAAGGGCCCAGCCTGCACCGCCAACCGCCAGCAGAGGGTGACGGCGGTGAGATGCCATAAGTTCAGGGAACTCCAATTCCCAGAAGCCCTTGGGCTGATTAGGCCCAACCTGGCACACCTGTGGACTCCTCTACTTAAGGCTGTGGCAATGAGTAGCCCTTTGTCACACATTTGTAGAGGGGTGACCGGTATGGTACTTAGCCCAGGTGGGTATTTAAATGGAAAGGAAAAGAAAAAAAAAGGAAAAGAAAGAGGGCTGAAAAAAACAAAAGAGAGAAACTGCCCCGAAACTGCTTGAAAATCAAAAGAAGGCTTGAGCAACAAACGGCTCCAAGCTATACAAAAAGTGTTTACTCCACAAAGAGCAGACAGGTGAAACAAAGTTGACTCTTCTCATAATCACAGAGGAAGTCTTTTTTTGTTTTCTGATTATCTTTTATTTCACTTTTCTATTTCAGCCTTTGTTTGAGCACGCTGCTTTCAACGTCCCCTTTCTTTGCCTTTTTCCTGCCTTTTTTTAATTTCCCATTCGTTGAGGTGTTTTTCCCATTTTTGCCTTCCCGGTGGTGAAGCGGTAACTCCTCGGACTGCCAATCAGTATATCGGGTTTTACTGTTAAAACATTAAGGTGCTCTGGAGCCTTATAAAGCCATTAGGCTACAGTAGAGAAAATTCCCCACTACTGCAGAGTGTGATGTACCATCTAAGAAAAAAATGCTGTATTTTCCATTCCGGTTAAGTGTCTAAGGGGTTCAGATGGGTTTCCAAAGGCATCTACAGCTGAATGCTAGAGTTACTCCCCTATCATGAATGCACGTTTGCAGTAACATCTATGAAAATAACAGGAAGTAATTTTCAAAAGATGGGTTTCTTGGTATTATATTCAAAATGTGATTTTTAAAGATTTTAATTACATGGTTAATGTTTCAAAAACAAATAGGATAGAAAGTAGGTCACAGGCAGTAGACTGCATGTAGTGGGTTTGGGGGGGGTATAATTAATAATCATGGGGCAATCGTGGGCTGGAGGTTAGGGAACCAGCCTTGCGACCGGAAGGTTGCTGGTTCAATCTCCTGAGCCGACAGTACATGACTGAGGTGCCCTTGAGCAAGACACCTAACCCCCAACTGCTCCCCAGGTGCTGTGGGTAGGGCTGCCCACCACTCCGAGCAAGTGTGCTCACTGCCCCCTAGTGTGTGTCTTCACTAGTGTGTATGTGGTGTTTCACTGCACGGATGGGTTAGATTGCTGAGGTGAAATTTCCCCACTGTGGGACTAATAATCACTTAATGATTTTTAGCTAGAGAAGTATCTACTCTGAGCACAAGACAGAACATAGAACTATAGAGAAGGAGTGATACAGAGAGAAAAAAATGTTCCTGTACCGCTTGCAGATGGAACCAGATACTGTCAGACGAGGCTAGTTTTGTGAGCTTTATTTACAAAGTGGTGATCCAAAAGCACAGTCGAAAACCAAAAAGACAAGTTCATAAACCAGAGATCCGCAACAGCGCAAAGGATGAAGCAAAGAGCAGAGTCAAAAACGGAAATTACACAGGAACTGGCTTACAAAATGGAGAAAGTCTTGGTAGACACAGAAAACAGTGACTATACTTCACAAAGAACAGATACAGACAGCTTAAATACACGTGTGAACAGGTGTACATGATTAGAAGTCCAGAGAGGCTGAACGGTGATAGGTGGATCTAAGAGTCCTGAGTCATGTGAGGGAGCGAGGGGTTCTGGGGAATGCAGTTTGAGGTGGTTAAGTTCGGCTGAAGTTCCAGCCGGGCCGGAGGGAGGCGTGACTCTTCCAGAATAGCACTGCCTATCTTCTCTGAGTTTGTGTGGTGAGGCAGAGCTCTGCAGGTGTATTCAGAGCTTGTGTCTCAAGGCTGTTGGTCTAAGGCAAGGCCTTAGGTGGACCATCAGTCATCTTTCAGCTTTTTTACTGAAGGATCACGAAAGACTGGTCTGGATTTGCAGAGATTGAAGGTTTTCTGTTCATGACCCGACTCCAAACACCAAACCTCCTTACTTCCTCCTCCTTCTCTTCTCAGTGTCGCACTCTCTGTCAATTACAATTTAAGGCACTTTGGCTAGATCTCCTTACGGCCTCAGTCCATCCCAGGAGCGCAGAGCCATCATGGTATGGGCTAATTACACGCCTATGCTAGGCTCTCGTTTAATCCAGACCCAGTGCGATGGCCGAGTGGCTGGGAGAGTGGCTGTGATTGAGCCGCATGGCCTTCAGCTCCGGTCATGGGAAAATATCGTCCACCGTCTGACCTGAGACGGCCTCCGACTGCTCTGTCACTTCTCCCTTGAGCCGAGAGTTAGTGGCAGTGACAGTTTGTGGAATATAGGCTGCATATAAAACAGTAGGGTTATTACTCACACGAAATTTTGAAAGACGATCTCAGAGGGGCAGAGATATAAACAGCGCATGCAGCTCAGTTCAGCAAGCACGCTGTGTCTGATCCACTCAGACCAGCGCAACACACACTAACACACCACCACCACATCAGTGTTACTGCAGTGCTGAGAATGATCCACCACCCAAATAGTACCTGCTCTGTGATGGTCCGTGGGGGTCCTGACCACTGAAGAACAGGGTAAAAGGGGATGGTTGTTCAAGGGTTCTTTAGTAAAGAAGATGGTTCTGTATAGAACCATGAACTCTCAAAGAACCCCTTGCATGATTAAAGGGTTTTTTGCATCATGAAAATAGTTCCTCAGATTGATAGAGAATGTGTTGTGTATATGGTTCTATATACGAAGGTTTTGAAAAGGGTTCTATGTAGCACCAAAAAAGGTTCTTCTATTGTTACAGGCTTGACATTGTAACAATAGAAGAACCCTTTTTGGTGCTATATAGAACCTTTTTGTCAATCAATCTGAAGAACCCTTTTATGATGCAAAAAAACTTTATTCATGCAAGTGAGTTATTGAGTGTTCTATATAGAACCATTTTCTTTACTAAAAACATTGAAGAACCATCGTTTTTAATGTTTTCCTAGAATGTTATCCTTGATTTAACACTGTTCTAGAATGTTCCTCCCTCATTTACACTGTTCTAGTGTTCTCCCTTCATTCACACTGTTCTAGAATGTTCTTCCCTTATTCATGCTGTTCTAGAGTGTTTTCTATATTCATACTGTTCTAGAATGTTCTCCCCTCATTCACATTTGTAGAGTTGGTGGGCCTTAAATGGTTTGAAATCTCCACAGAATACAGAATAGACGTTGAATAGTTCTCCTCCAGTGCACAGTGTGAAGGCTTCTTTCTATCTAAACAGGAATTCCCGCGAGTGAGAGTCGGGGTGTTTATCGAGCAGCCCACCCCATTCCTGCCCGAGTTTCTCCAACGGCTCCTGACCCTAGATTATCCCAAAGACAAACTGGACGTGTTCATTCATAACAATGTGAGTGTGCAGCTGCATTGGAAGTGAGAAATAACATTTCTAGACCTTCTAGACGGTGTTCTAGTCTGACCTGTCTGTGACCTCCCACCTCACCCATCTCTCACCAGGAGGTTTACCATGAGAAGCACTTACAGGCTTTCTGGGAGGAGAACAAGGACGTGTTCCGCAGTTTTAAAGTCGTTGGCCCGGAGGAGGACTTGAGCCAAGGGGAGGCTAGGAACCTGGGCATGTAAGCCTCTCTTTTCACCCTCGATAATTTCAGAGTGCCACTGAGAAATATGTAAATTAGGGCCAAATTACAGTGAGAATGAATCCAACTGACTCTAATTTGTGTTCAAAGAAAAACACTAACGTTTCTTACGTGCCAGAAGAGTCAGACCACTTGTAAATAAGGATGACAGCATCAACCAATAAAAGATTGGTCATAGTTGAAACAATATTATTCAGAAACCAATATTATTTACTCTGTAAACACATCAGATTTACCCCTATCTTTGTGCAGTACTCCACCCCATGCTATGTGGCTCATTGAGCTCTAGCTCAAGCAAGAACCTCTGAGCTGTTCTTGCATTCCTGCTCTGATATGTGGTGTGTAGGAGCGTAAGCCTGCAGCATGTGGTGGAATAGACATACCCACTTGGTTATGCAGGTGCAAGGACCCTTTGTGTGTAAGTAGCTGGTTGTTACAACCACATTAAGTTTTACAGAGTCAGAAGTCAGAAACCATGTCTAAAGATGTCTCAAACCAGCCATCAGGGCCACCAGAGTGTCCTTATTTTTGTTCTATCCCTGCGTGGGGAACACAAATATGGACAATTTGGGGGTCCCTGAAAACAGTTTTGAGAACCACTGTATTACATCAGTGGGTGTGTACCTAGGGAGGGAGGGGGTTGCATCTGAAGTCCTCTGGAGCACTGATACAGCACAATGATCATCTGTGCCTGCTGCCTTGATGACTATGGAAGTGGGTCAGCAGGAATGAAAAATCTTCAGCATGGCTGACTATCCCATTAAAAAAGTGCTCCTTTCACGTCATTCTCTGGTTTGACTGGTAAAATAGAAAAGATGGACTTGTAACAACAAGCAAAACCTGACTGGTTTCTGGGATGGAATAATCCTTGACAGTTGTGAATGCAATGCATGTATGATAGGCATGTTTCTATATTTCTTGCCACATATTCTAAAAGCTGCCTACTGATGATTGAGTGTGTTCAAGGAGTAGTTAAAGAGAACTCAGTCAAAACTTGGTGAAGGACGTGTCTTCTAAAGGTTGTGAGTGAATCATCTACTGTTGTCATCCAATCTTCAACAGTATAATGTTCATTTAGCATTTGAGACCTAAACATGGAGCCAGACCTTCTTTTTGATCCTGTGCGTGGGAAGTTAATGCGTAAAGATTATGACGTAGTCTGAAAAACTCCTATTAAATGCAAGCCAACACCCTGACTTAATTCATTAATCTGGTCACCCGAGAGTCCAGTGCAAATTAATCTGTCTACATCACACACTAAGACTGTTTGTTCTATGTTTCTCTGTGCTTGTGCTGAGCAGGGACCTGTGTCGGAGGGATCAGGAGTGTGACTACTACTTCAGCATCGACGCAGACGTCATGCTCACCAACAGGCAGACACTGAAGCTCCTCATGGAGCAGAACAGGTAATGCCACTGAGCTACCAAGCTTGTCATCATCCTGGAAGCTTCCACAGAGGCGTCTTTGGTGTCTGGTGGAAGACTACTATCCCAGCAGTGCGAAACTCCCTCTCTCTGTGCAAAAATAAGCCCAGACGGCTTCCTGTTTTGCTTTGGCATTTGGAAACGAAGCAAGGCTGCATCTTCCGAGTTCTAGAATGCCAGTTTGCATCAAGCCAAAAACTTTTTTTTTACCTATACCCTGCTGCCTTGATGAGCAAATGTCTGAGACAGCTGCTTTCACCATGTGTCAATATTTAGCACTGTAGAGAAACCTCTGCTCAGATATTTTTAAAGAAGCTGTGGGAATTCTCTGTGTTGGCATTGAACTGCGGGGCGAAAATGTAAATCGCTAGAAATGCGGGGTTTTATTGTCTCGCATGCACATTGTCACAAAGGCCTCTATAATTTTCTGTAATGTTTTTGCAATGACATGTTTCCCTCACGATATAATTTTTTATGTGTATATTTTTATGTGGGCCTGCTCTGGAAAAGTCTGGGAGTACAGAGCTGCATCATTCTCAGTATCACATTTAAGAGCAAACCGTCCCTAAATGGCAAATTGAAACCAGCACTTGTTGAATTCATTTAAAAATATTTCCCTGTATGCCAAGTGCAGCTGTTTATAAAAATGCATAAACAAGTATTTTTCATACAGTATTGTGCAGAAGTGAGAGAGAACACTTTCATTTGTTTCATTTCTGATGAAAATTATCAAGTTATTTAAAAGGCAAGAATCACATATTTAACATATAATTCCACAAGTGTAACATCAAACTCTTCCATCCAGTCTGTGACATTATATACCTGTCAAAGAGACACTAACATTCACACAAACAACTACCCAAACTCCCCAAAGCTGCCTCACAATGTGCATCTAAAATGGCTAAAGGAGATAATTCTAAGGAGATTGGATATAAAATAATCCACTGGTATAACAAAGGAGAAAGTCAAATGAAAGTAAGTGGGGGGAAAAAAACAGGAGATTTAAAAAATATTTAAAGATTATGCAGAAAATGGGACTCCCAGCAGCCATGCAAGACCTGATAGACCACCAACACTGTCACCATCAGATAAACAGCACTTAAAGCTTTCATCTTTGAGAGAGAGGAGAAATTGGAAAAAATCCACGAGTGTTTCTGTGTATGTGAGAGGACAACTCAGCGCTAGGGGTCTGAAAGGATGTGTAGCTGTCAAGAAGCCATTAAGAAAACAAAAGAAGTAGAACATTTTGCACCAAACCTGTGATACCACTTCCTATGAATGCCACATTTGGAAGCATCTATAAACACATTCATAATATGCTATAATGCATTCATAAGGCATCTTAAACATGGCTATAAATATTTATAAAAATGCATGACATGTTATAGCCATGCTTATTATGTATTATGAATTGTTAACATTCATTATAAGTACTGTTCATAACAAAGTATAAGAGCTCATGAGTTGTATTTGTACGCTCTAAGTAAAGTGAAGCGTACTGCACTAAAGCCTCCTCCAGTGTTAAGAGTGAGGAGCCCTAACAGCACCAGCGGTGAGGAATAATGTGCTGGAAATCTGAGGGCATAAATAAACTTTGTATCTGTCTTTACTTTATGCTCTCCAAGCTGGGACTCACTTATTAACACTAATTATAATGCGTTATACTTTACAATTCATAATGTATAATAAACATGGCTATAAAGTGTAATTCAGTGTAATTACAAACGTGTCATTCATAGAAAGTGTTACCAAAACTGCAATACATAAATTTATATATATATATATATATATATATATATATATATATATATATTTAATTTATATAAATAAAGAGTATAGAAATATAAACATATGAAAAGTACACATTTACAATTGATTACTTGGATCGTGAAAAGCAGAAAATACAATCAACTTCTATGACTGAACTTTCCAGGTGTGGAAAAATATCCCTGCAGATTTCTTTGAAAAACTCAAAGCAGATCTCCTGAAAAGAACAGAAGCTGTAGTATTGTATAATAAACTGTATTATATATGCAGTACTGTACTTCACTTTTGAAAATAATAAGTGAATACTTAATACTATATTTAGTATTTAAATACTATATTTAGTATTTAGTACATAAACCCACAGAAATGTCGTAAGTGGACCTCAGGGAAAAATCTAAAATATGGACCATTTTAAACCTTGCTTGAATCTTTATTTGGTTGCTAAACGCAGTATCTGTTAATTGGGGTGAGTCGACACTGTATAGAATCAGGCTTTGACACCGATTTAGTGTGACTGCTTGTGCACAAAATGTCACTAATTTCATCATAGCTGAGATGCACTTTCGCTGCCTTTCTGCTTATGTTCCCTCAGAAAAATAATTGGTCCCCTTGTCACTCGCCATGAAAAACTGTGGTCCAACTTCTGGGGGGCTCTGAGCTTGGATGGCTACTACGCCCGATCTGAGGACTACATTGAGATTGTGCAAGGAAAGCGAGTGTAAGTGTGTTGGGAGTGCTCCAAGAGGACTCGTAAAGACAGAAGGCCCTATATTTTCTAATCTATACTACAGTACAGTGGTCTTTCTTTGATTAGAAAATGTATGAACTCTCCCATAATTGGACTGGATCAAAATCACAAGCGGCCCTTCTGGCTGCAAATTTGGCAAGCTGCTCATGCACATTGCATGTTGGAAAGATAATAATTGGTGATTATGGATAATGGATAACATGTGTTCCCCAACATACTGCGGACTAACACAGATGGCAGGATGAATAGCCTGTAATGAAGAAGTCATCCAGCTATCGAACAAAATAAATTATCATGGTCCCTTTTGTCTATTTCTTTTTTCTCTCAACAGCGGTGTGTGGAATATTCCGTACATGGCCCATATATACCTCGTAAAAGGCGAGGCTTTGAGGAACGAGCTGAAAGACAGGAACGTGTTTGTCCTGGAGAAGCTGGATCCTGACATGGCTCTGTGTAAAAAGACCAGGGAACTGGTGAGACTGATGGCACACAAGCTCATCTAAGCATGCTGTAAAGACTAGACTTAGCTTAGAGCATCTTAACAGCATTAGAATGTGAGAAGGAGCTATTTAAGTGGCTTTGTTGTCTTTTGAGGGAATAGTTTGCCAGAAAAAACATTTACATGATTTTCCTTAGATCCCAAATGTGGTTGATTAGCTAGACATGTTTGCTGTCCAAATTTTACTTCTTTCATTTGGCACTGGGCATCCAAGGCTAACATAAGTGTTGAAACCTTACACCCCACCAGTTTGCATGCTTGAATCATCACTAGCAATAATTTTATGAGTAACGGATGATGGCAGGAGCGTTCGATCTTATCTGCAAAGGGTCGGAATGAAAAAGCAGCTGATCACAGTTGTTTAATCAGTTGGTCTCAGGCTTCAACAGCTGTTCACGCATGCTTCTGCTTTGTTGGAATGAAAACCTGCATTCACACCAGCCCTTTGCGGATAAGAATGGACACCCCTGGATTATGGCGATGCAGTCATTAGGAATGCAGCGATCCACTAGGCTGGCTTTACATGGTGAGACTTCCATGCTACTTTAGTTGCTTGAAACCTACATTAAAGTAAGGATGCTAATTATTACAGAGGAGGACACCGAGATGCACTTGTGCTCATAGAAAAGAGAGTGAGATACCTAGTAGGCTATAGTCGTAAAGGCCATTTAAAGTTTTAAAGACTTGTACACACAACAGTTTAAAAAAAATTCAAATATATAGCAAACAACTAAAGATATATAGATTTACAAAAAACAGCAAAGACAGAAAAAAAGATGCAGGCTGCCAGTTTGGCTAACTAGTTGAATAATTATGTGTTTTGTGCAACTTTTATTGTCTTTGAATTGCTTAGTGTAACTGCCAAGTTGCACTGAAATTAGGTTGCAGGCTACTCAAAACATGCAACTAGTTGCATGTAAGTTTCACCATATAAAATCAGCCTTAGATGCTATGTATCACAGTGCATTTCATTTTATAACTGGTGATGGATCTAAAACTCTTCACTTTGGGGTGTACTACAAAGTTGCGTGGTTATCTTCGTACGTAAGAAGGAAGCAACTTTTAATTTACAAAGCTCCATTGAAACATTTTTCCAGTTTTCCATCTGTTCGATTAGAACAGATGAAACTCAATGATTGGCTGGTATCACTCTCGTTCCAGTGTGGAATATCTTTCAGTTGAGTGCTAAAATACAACATCTTTTACCTTTCAGTCAATTTAAAATACTTCTAGATAACATGAAAGATGAGAACTTTGTGTTTTCATTAATTTCATCCATTTTTTGCCTTATTTATTTTATGTTTTACTGGCTCAGATATTTTATTGTTGTTTATTTCAAACTTGTTCCCATTTTATAAGAAATATTCTTTTATTTCTGTTTAATATTAGCTTTATGTAAAATTTAGAGGCTAATTTAAATGACGTGTTGTTGATTTTCTAAGTGAACATATGTCAACACATCTACAGGGAACATACTGCTACCCATTTTAAGGCACAATTACTGTTTTTACTGTATTTAACATACTGTGGATACATATTATAAAAGGTTATAACACTTTTTATATTGTGCACTAAAATTTTTTAAATGCCATATTTAAGTTTGTTCTCTGCAGAGGACGTGTTGGCTAATTTCCACTTCCACTCTGCATGGAGTTGGACAAAAATACAAACAGAATTCAGGCTTCAAGATGGCTGCTTCTACTGTTTTTAGCTATCTGATAAACCTTAGTCCATGTTTATAGATAACAACAGTGTGTCATTCAGTGTCAGAAACTACATAAGCAAGACTTTGAGATTACTAAACAACTTGACACAAGTTTTGAGTGAGTGTGTGATGATTTGTGCAATTTAACTGACTGGAGAGGTACAAGCTTCCGTTACTCGTTAGCTACGCTGGCCTTGTAGCTCCAGTGCGAAAAACTAAAGAACCAAACGTCTTGGAAGCTCAATTACATTGAGGTAACGGGAAGAAAACTGTGGAATATTTTCCAAACGACTGTGTTAAGGATGCGGTCTGAATCATGCAGTCAGGCCGATGTCCTACATTTACTACATTTGGGATAAAGGGAAAACTGTGAATGGGATTTTTTTGCCAAACTGTTCCTTTTTATTGACGGATATTTCATAAATGTTTATTAAATTATATTTAGTGTATTGCATGTGCATTGACATTATGTGCTAAGGTTTAAGTACTTTTTGGAGGCAGGCTGTAATTTTCCTCGATGTAGACAGACAGTGTCAGTTTGTCAATGCCATGTTTCTTAATGTCTTCAAACATCTGCTGCACTTCTGTGACAAGGAGATAACTGGCAAGTATGCGGCTCAGTGTATCAGTGTGCTGTTTGCGTCCAAGGCATGACGGCTGTGTTTACGTTAGAATCTGTGGTGCGTTCAGTTTCTTTCCTCTCCACGTGTGCCCCGTCATCCTCTCCTCTCCACACTTCACCTGTGACCTTTGACTTGTGAGAATGGAAATGTCTGGCTGGCCACCTTTGTTCTCCCACACTTGTGTCTTAACTGAAAGCTTCCCAGTTCGGTCCCTAAAGACTTATAGGCAGTCTGCTTCCAACTCCCAGGGCCTGATTTGAAGGCAGCTGGATTAAAACTGTGATATCACATAAGATGTCTATTATGGGAATTTTAATTCCATCCTTAGTTGCCTTGGATACAGGGAATTCTTCACATCAAACCTGCAAGTTACAACTGGGGGAAGGCAAGCATGCAGCCACTAAAGCTGCATTTATTGTATTTTTATTGGCATCACAATATGTGTTTCCACATAGACACATCATTAAAGGCTGCAATGACAAAATTGATCAAATTACATTAAAAAAGAGTTTTTTAGTAAAGAAAATGGTTCTATAATGAACCATGAACACTCAAAGAACCTGGGTTTTTTGCGTGGTGAATTGGTTCTTCAGATTGATGGAGAATGTGCATGGTTCTGTATAGAACCTTTTTGATAAGGGTTCTGTATTTCACCCAAAAGGGTAGAAGAACCCTTTTGGGTGCTATATAGAACCCTTTTGAAAACATCTACAGCACATTCTGAATAACTCAGATCATGTAGAGTTTTTTGAGCGTTAATGGCTCTTTATAGAACCATTTTCCTTACTAAAAACCCTTAAAGAACCATCTTTTTCACAAGTGTAGCATTGTATTTTCTGTATATCGTGCAGGCCTGGTAATTATGTAGATATACATGCTTTTTATTGGTCATTTGAATCCACCACCCCCTTGAAATTTCACTAGAATTCGACCTTGGCCAGCTCCCATCATTAAGTGCTGTTTTCTTGGCTCAGGCTTTTGCATGTTGGGAGCTGGAAAAGAGGAAAAACATGTGGACCAGCTGCAGATCTTCAAGGACTGGGTTGGGAACTTCTCCCCATATATTAACATGTAGATATTCAGCATGCTTATCACACTCTAACCTAAAGCCTATCACTCTAAGCTTAGCAGAGTGTGAAGCTTTGCATAGATCTTCTCACAGTCTCCTCCTAGCATGTGAAAGAAATCCAAACCTTCTAGTTCTTTACAGGCCAGTCTTGCTCTATCTGGCACAAGCATCTCCTCTATGCTGAAAGGGCGTTGCACTCAAGTATCTGACATACCTACTACGTTTTCCCTGTCGCTCTCTTGTTTTCAAAGCAGAATTGGAATTTACATGGTGCTTTTCCTTCATTTTAGACAATACAGAGAGAGAAAGACTCTCCTTCTCCGGAATCATTCCATATGCTCAGAGCCCCAAAGGTTTCCATATATTTTTCTGATTTCTCTACATCATTTCCACTCATTATTGATCTCAAACATGCTTTTTGCTGTTACATATGAAAGCATCACTTTTCCAAACGGATCAAGTTACCCAGTTCACAGTTGACTCAGAACTAACCCGTGATGTGTATTTTGTTTGTTCAGATGCATTATTGTGTTTTATCCCCTCATTATATTTGACCTATTGTTTATAATATATCAGAATATTTGCTCAATCTGACGATATCAGTGCTAAATCTGCTAAAGCCATTTAAGTGACCTATCAACGTGCATGCCAACTGAACTAAATTCTACTTTATGATGCCCATAACATGATTAGATTTGACTTGCATGTCCTTGTAGACCTACTGAATGTTTGATTTAATGCTGAGATCATTTTTGAATGCAGTCTGATCTGTCTCTGCCAGATATGACAGATGTATTCGGAATCTCTGCCAAATCCCTTTGTGAAAGTGATGCTGCTAGCTGAAGGGTTAAAACTGCCTTTTTTTTATAGAGATGGGAAAAAAAGCACCTGTTTTCAGTCATAGATTATTCACAAAAGTCCATAAATTTGCCCCTTTTTTGAAAGAAGGTCCGCAAAGATGAGGAATCAATCAATATCAGTAATGGTCACCTGTCTCCAAGAATTCCCCACAGTAACTGCTTTTTCCAAAGGGCAAGATCATAAGCACACCAGTAACATAAAGCTTATCCCTCCCCACACTCCTTGACCTATCTCAGCCTAGGCCATAACACCTGCCAAAGCAATAAACTCCAATGCCGATGATGTTGTCGGTGCATTGGTCAAGCTAAGAGACTCACTTTGTAGAGCAGGTAAAGCGTAGACTGATAGAGTGTCTTGGAGGCTTATGTGCCCAAATGCCAGACCCCTCACCCCCTGCTTTGTAGTGGAAGGGAATGACGATTCCTGGAGTTTGCTCTGTCCCCTCCTTCAAACACAGCACCAGACTGTGTTCCTGTTCCCTCCCTGCTCCCTTCCACCCTCTAGAAATAAGCGCAGATAAATTAGCGTAGATTATTTCTTTTAACCCCTTAAATGGCCAGGGCCAATCGGCAGGCCCCAAGTTTCATTACACACTCCAATAACCTCAGAATAGCTTAGCATTGCATTGACGTCCCTGTGTTTACTGAATAATAAGCCTTAGCTTGCAATAAGCCTGGGATTTTAAGGGGTTAAAGTAGTCATAGGTTGAGTATTTCCTGTGCTGTTTCTTCTTTAGTTCAATGCAGTGTCATCAGTGTTAAATGCAATGTCCATGGTGTTAAATGTAATGTCAATGGTGATTTAGCTTAAGTGCTATTGTTGTTTGCTATTTTCTGTTTATGAAGTCTAACATCTTTGTCTTCGTATGCTGCAGGGCGTTTTCATGTACGTTACGAACCGTGAGGAGTTTGGAAGGCTTATTTCTACAGCCAATTACAACACCTCCCGTTTAAACAATGACTTATGGCAGATATTCGAGAACCCAGTGGTGAGTGTCCAGATGTTCCTCCTCCTCATCATAAATTGTTTGTATGGAGACAGCACTGAATGCTGTCAAGAAGATAAACTTTGCACTGTATGTTTAAGCCACTGGGAATGAAGCTGTTGAACATAAGAGGCCTCTCTTGGTGACTTCTGAGTGACCTCACTCTCAGTGACTGATAACCACTGTATATAATGCTCACTGCAAACACATAGGCTAAGCTCTGCTCGGTATGCGGGGAAAAGACAAACTCAGTAAATTCCTTTTTTCCACAGGATTGGAGGGAGAAGTATATCCATCCCAACTACACACAGATCTTTACAGAGAACCGTCTAGAACAGGTAGAGGCATGGCTGTCTGGGTTACTAGATAACGATCAGCTATTTGTTCATATCTAATTCCACTTCACTAAAAGTTGAGAAACATGTCAAGACTACTTTTGGGAAAAACAAAATACTCTGGCTAATTCCTTCTAGACTGCCACTTGTTTTATTTTACTTTGCTGGAACTGCATGTACCCTTTATTTGACGGTCCCCAGCTGTCTGGGCCAGTCCAGATGTGCTGAGCCTCACTGTGTATGTGTGTATGTGTGTGTGTGTGTGTATGTGTGTGTGTGTGCGTGTGTGGGTGTGTGTGCAGCCATGTCCAGACGTGTTCTGGTTTCCCGTGCTGTCGGAGCGGGCTTGTGATGAGCTGGTGGAGGAGATGGAGCACTTTGGGTCATGGTCCGGTGGAAAGCATGAGGTCAGTTAAGGCTGTCATTGGAATACATTGCTCAGACAGACTGTTAAGACCTACAGCAGGCTTGATTAATGCAGTCATAACTCTTGAAGGAAGTCTTGTGGTTTTAGTCAGTCAGGACTATATTTGAACACCATATAGATGGCATATTAGAGCATGGATGGAGAAATGAGGTGTGAGTAACAAAATCTGGGCTTTGTCTAGTAGCAATTTCTTGTTTTATCCCAGAGGTTATGTGGCACAGCTGTAAGTGTTGCTGGGTGCTAAACACAAAGCTGGAGAGTTAGAAGAGTTACATATAATGCCTTCTCCTGGAGATCTAGAGCTATTATGATGATTGTAGTCTATTTAAATGTAATTACATAGTAATTATTTAATAATTGTATCCAACATTTTTTTTTTGCAAAAATGTAATGTTTTTTGTTTGTGTTTTTTTTTTTACTTTCTGCAAAACTTTGGCTGCCCCTGATCAAATGACATGTTTTGTTCACGGCAACTACATGGTGGGTGAGAGAATTAGCGTGTCTTGCACTATATTTATTTGTGGCATACTGGTATAAAGGTAATGAGAAGAATTTCAACTAAATTATGTTTTTGTTGATTTTCTATTTAAAACAAGTCAACACATCCCCTCAGAGAACAGACTTCTGCACATTTTAATACACAATCACTGTTTATTCACTGAATTTAACATATTGGAAGAAAAGTAAGACATGTTAGGTGGCTTATACAAAAGTTGTCACATTTTGTATTTCATGTTTTATTTTTTACGAAATTAACTAAAACGTAATACAGTTGAAATTCTTCTTCTGAATTTTGTCATTATCTTTATACATGTATGCCACAAATAAATGTAAAAATGTCATACTTAACTTTTTTCCTTGTAGAGGTTGTGTCCCTTTTGCATACAACTGTACATGCACAACCATAAAATATTCTCAATTAACCCTTAAAATCTTAGGCTTATTACATCCTAAGACTTCCTTAATTACAAGGATTACAATGCAAGTTATTCTTAAGTTATGAGACTGTATTAGAAGTCTGAACCTATTTGGTATATCCTGGAAATGTTAAGGGATTTAATAGAATTTCCACTTGTTTCAGTGAACAATGAGTGAGAAATGATGTAAAGGGCACTTATGGTTAAGATGCCTCAAAAACCTTGATTAGCCAGAGTGGATAGGTTGGGTTATGTTAGAGTTGGAATTGAGAGGGTGCATTAGTGCAAGGACAAGCAGTAGAATTGGAGCTCCTGCTACAGGGACAGACCTCTTATGCAATGGGAATGTTTTCCCTCTACAGGACAAACGCATCACTGGCGGCTATGAGAGCGTCCCCACCGACGATATCCACATGAGACAGATCGATTACGACAAGGAGTGGCTGCACTTCCTCCGGGAGTTCATCTCGCCTGTCACTCTGAAGGTTTTCTCCGGATATTACACCAAGGTACGCTGGGCCCTTTTGGGCTGGGCTCTGGAAGGCTCTGTGGCCATCGCTTCCAAGTCTGCTAGTAAAAGCAGTCAGGGATGGTGCTGTGTGAAATCATGTCTGTGCTGCTGCGATGGGTTTAAAAGGCCAGTCTGTCAGATTTAGCAGCCATAAACCCTCTCTCACTAGCTCTCCACTGTGCTTTGTGTGCTTGCTGGATAAGCTCTGTGAGCTCTTTGCTTGATTTGACTCATGGAATGTGCGCCACAGTACGCACAGCTAGCCCGCTGTTATTTTGGAGCCATGAATTAAGAAAACAGTAAATTTCAGAAAGGAACAAATAAAGACGGCCGTTGCTTTTCAGAGCTGCTGTTTGCACAGGAACCTTTCCTTTGTGGAATGTGCTTGTGAATGGAGAATTCCTCCAGAGCTCACACAGGCACGGTTCACTCTCCGTGCAACAGCAAGTCTAACAGCCATTAGAGACTTCAAATGTCAGACTTTGATGTTTGCTTTCTTCTGTGTGTTACAGGGCTATGCTGTCATGAACTTTGTGGTGAAGTACACTCCTTCCAGACAGGCCTACCTGAGACCTCACCATGATTCATCCACGTTCACCATCAACATAGCACTGAATCAAAAAGGAATAGATTTCCAGGCAAGCACAGGATGACTTGTTTCACTTTCTGTAAAGCCATATGAAAATCGCTAAACAGATGCTGCCTCTGTCTGCAAACAGAATGATCACAAATACAAGTTTCTGAACTAAAAGTTCAGCTTCAGCTTGTTTTTAACTTTTGGTTGGTGGCTGGTTACTGAGCAATGGTCAGCGGTAGGTCATTCATTATTTGTCTAAATGCAATTTAATAGTAGTCACAGATTAGGTCTTAGACATGTGCTTACATCTATACCAGCTGGCCTACATTTTTACAAGTGGTGAACTGTAGTTATAGCTTAGCCTTCGGTTCTAGCCATAAATGTCAAAAATTTTCATAAAATCAGGGAAAAACATCTGTAGAAGAAAGCTACTTTCAGCTAGTGCACTTATGGGAATTTCCAGTGGTATGTTAGTGCTGATCTAACAGTGGTGTACATTAATTTTTTGGCCATTCTAGATTAAACATTGACATTTGAAGCTTGTAATAGATATTCCGTATGTTTTATTTAAAGCTTGAAACAGGCATTAACATATATTTGAAATTAAATGTTGTACTTTTACAGTGCCTCTTTAGTAAGGAGTCCTAGCATAGAGCTGCCATCACTGTTCTCTGTTCTTAACAACTGACTGAAACATGGTTAAGCTACAGCTCTTAGTCACAGTCAGTAACATATCTAGGACTTCCAGAAGGCCTAGAATTACATTATTATTTTTTTTTAATTGGTCCTATTCATTGTAAATCAAAACATGACTGGTTGATTCCAAGATTTTAACCCTATTTATTTATAACCAAAACTTGAAAAATACATTTGTATTACTATAAAATGTGCAGAATTTAAATACAATAAGAATGATGATTCTTTTAAATAAACATTACACCCAGTGTTTCTTAGTTTCCTGACATTACTAGGCCTTCTCCGAAGGCCTAGAAGGGCCCTCTGATTTTTTTTCTACAATGGGGGGAAAATGTTTGGGATAAATAAAAGTAGATCAGATTAACTAACTAACTTAAGTTAGCAGTACATTTATCAAATAGGCTCAACTACCAAATAGGTTAGAGCACCACCAAAACATCCACTATGCTCAAATGACCTTTTTGCCATTACCATGTCTAAAGATTTTAGTCAGTTGAGCTCATATTTGCAGTCGTTGCTCACCTAATATTTCCTTTCCACTTTATCCGGTACTGAAAGTTGAAAAATACTGTCGGTTTTCCCAAACATGTACAACTTAAAGATATCCTCTGTGTTTCTGACTACAAAAGACATGAACAAAAAGACTTCACAAGTCAAGAATTACAGCTTAGCAAGTCAGAAATGGGACCATCTGATATCAGCACTGGAGATATTACTGCAATTTCAGGTCTAAAACAATTTTTCCAGTTGTAGTAATGTTTCTTTATGTGTTTTTCTAGGGTGGAGGCTGTCGATTCCACAGGTATAACTGCTCTATAGAGTCTCCAAGGAAAGGCTGGAGTTTCATGCATCCAGGAAGACTAACCCACCTTCATGAAGGACTACCCACCACCAACGGCACACGTTACATCGCAGTGTCTTTCGTCGACCCTTAACTTCCCTCTTTGGCTAGGAAAGTGTTAGATTCTGTGTGTGTGTGTGTGTGTGTGTGTGTGTGTGTGTGTGTGTGTGTGTGTGTGTTCTGTGTCATTTGTTTTGTTGACTTTTTGTTCGTTTCGAGTCAGTGTTTTTGGTTTGTGTCTTTTGTGGCTTTTACTACTGCGCGAAGAGAAAACGAGTTCAACGGATGGTCACAAAGGGTTTGTGGGGAGTTCCGTACCCACATGCACACAAGTCAATCACACATACACTCCTGCACACACATACACACATACATACATTAGAACACGGCTACAGTAATTAGCATTATATGCTTTGAAAAAAATCAACACTGCAGGGAAATAGATCCGATTTTCTCCACTGTATTATCAATACAATCAGGTCAAACCATAAAGTCTTTATTCAACCTATAGTCATATTGATTGTCCAGAAGAGAAAAGACCTGCAGGTGTGGTACACAATGGTGCTGTTTTAGTGTGATATCCTGAGATTTTTTTGTAATGACGAACGTGTTTTGTTGTTCTTTTCTACCCAAGAAAAATACAGTACTGTGCAAAAGTGCAAAGCTACCCACCCTTCATGTATCAAATGGCCAATAAAATGGCCATTAAGTACAAGTTATTAATTTTTCTGGGATAAAGATAAGATTAGATAAGCTAATCCACTTGTGTAAGTAAAGGGAGAGTCAATGGAAAATAAGTGAAAAATATGAGTTTCTAAAACTGAAGTTGATTTAAAAATGATTAAAAGATACAGAGAATGTGGGATTCCTAAGTGTGCAAGACCTGTAGACCACCGCAACGGCCCCTTTCAGATAAACAGTACTTACAGCATTTATCTTTGAGAGATCTGAAGTGTTCAATATTAAATGTGTCCATTCTTTGCCTTCATCACAGCTTTGTTTTCAAATTGTTTTCAGAGAAATCTACAGGGATATTTTTTACATAGCTCCAAAGTTCAGTCTTAGAAGTTGCATTTTCTGCTTCTTATGATCCAAATAGTCCAAACACACTCACTGATGTTGAGATCTGGACTCTGGAGTGGTCAGTCCTGAGACTGACCACCCCAGCACCACCTGAGAACACCAGCACTTCTGTGTTTGTCTCCTTTTCTCAGTGAGGCTTCTTAACAGCTACACATCCTTTCAGACCCATAGTGCTGAGTTGTCTTCTCACAGTGGAAGGATGGACAGAAACACCTGTAGATGTTTTCAGATCTGAAGCAGCTTGATTTGCTCCTCTATCTCAAAGATGAAAGCTTTAAGTGCTGTTTATCTGAGGGGGGACAGTTTTGGTGTCTACCAGATCTTGCTTGGTTATTAAAGGTTCCATTTTTTCAAATCTTGTATCTGTATCTATATTTTTGTATCTTATAAACTTCGGTTTTAGAATCTCCTCTTTTTACACTTATTTTCCTTTGACCTTCTCCTTCCTTATGCAAGTGGATTATCTTATGTTTAATTTCCTCAGAAATGTCGCCTGAAAAATAAATAACTTGTACTTAATGGCTGTTTTAACTGGAAATGAAATAAATGAAGGGTGGTCTCTGACTTTTCTGCAGTACAATATATAAATATATATTTTTTATCTTTGCACATCAAGAAACAGAAATGACCGCAGGATTTGATTTGAATTCTGGTTGAATGAAGTTTGATGAAGACAAATTATTACTTGAAAGGCTAGTTTTCTGGACATAACATGAGCTAAATTTTGGAGCCAATCCCATTGGCAAAATTTTTGATAAATTATCATTATTTCAGAGTCTCCATTTTTTGGTCTTGGTCTAGGGTCAACATGTGCCCAGAAACTGGCCTAAAGTGTTTTACTGTAAAACACATGGCAGAATGATGCCTGTTACAGCCTCAGTTCCTGAATCAAACTTTTTGGAGATGATAGATGTTGTACTGTCACTGAAAGTTGTTGCTTGTGAATGAACTTTGAGCCTCAGCCAGGTCCATCTGTTTTAACTTATTTTGAAACTGTTGAAAAACATAATAAAAGATATTTTAAAAAGGAAGTTTTTCCATTTTGAATCTTCATGCAAATCAGTTTACTTTGTAGATAACTGTGGATGAAAAAGCTAAAGTTGGCACATGCACCAGCTGTGTGTCTCTGCCAATCAAGATCGGCCTGCTGTCATCAAAATAACTGCAGCCAGCAGTAGCCCTGTCATTTAACTGCTTCACATGGGAATATTAGCTGTTTTTTCTGCCATTCTTTTCTCAGTTTTATAGCAGGTTTCAAACTTGACAGCACAAAGAGCAGAGGTTTTGATGGACGTAAGATGCAAGTCTAGCGCAACCAGTGGACTACAGGACAGGGGTTTCTAATAAAGTAAACAGAGCTACATGGCAAGGATTTCTAATAAAGTGTCCAGTCCTGAAGGACAAGGGTTTCTAATAAAGTGGCAAAAACTACAGTGCAAAGGTTTCCAATAAAGTACCAAGAGCTACAGGACAAGGGTTTCTAATAACATGAGCAGAGATACAGGGCAAGGGTTTCTAATCCAGTGAACAGAGATACAGGACAAGGGTTTCTAATCCAGTGAACAGAGCTACAGGTCAAGGGTTTCTAATAGAGTGAACAGAGATACAGGACAAGGATTGCTAATCCAGTGAACAGAGCTACAGGTCAAGGGTTTCTATTACAGTGAACAGAGATACAGGACAAGGGTTTCTAATCCAGTGAACAGAGCTACAGGTCAAGGGTTTCTAATAGAGTGAACAGAGATACAGGACAAGGGTTTCTAATCCAGTGAGCAGAGCTACAGGTCAAGGGTTTCTAATAGAGTGAACAGAGATACAGGACAAGGGTTTCTAATCCAGTGAGCAGAGCTACAGGTCAAGGGTTTCTAATCCAGTGAGTAGAGCTACAGGTCAAGGGTTTCTAATCCAGTGAACAGAGATACAGGACAAGGGTTTCTATTACAGTGAACAGAGATACAGGACAAGGATTGCTAATCCAGTGAACAGAGATACCGGACAAGGGTTTCTAATCCAGTGAACAGAGATACAGGACAAGGGTTTCTAATCCAGTGAACAGAGATACAAGACAAGGGTTCCTACTCCAGTGAACAGAGATACAGGGCCAGGGTTTCTAATACAGTGAACAGAGATACAAGACGAGTGTTTCTATTACAGTGAACAGAGATACAGGACCAGGGTTTCTAATACAGTGAACAGAGATACAAGGCAAGGGTTTCTATTACAGTGAACAGAGATACAGGACCAGGGTTTCTAATACAGTGAACAGAGATACAAGATGAGTGTTTCTATTACAGTGAACAGAGATACAGGACCAGGGTTTCTAATACAGTGAACAGAGATACAAGACGAGTGTTTCTATTACAGTGAACAGAGATACAGGGCCAGGGTTTCTAATACAGTGAACAGAGATACAAGACGAGGGTTTCTATTACAGTGAACAGAGATACAGGACCAGGGTTTCTATTACAGTGAACAGAGATACAAGACGAGGGTTTCTATTACAGTGAACAGAGATACAGGACCAGGGTTTCTAATACAGTGAACAGAGATACAGGCAAGGGTTTCTAACAAAATGGACAGAGCTACTGGGCAAGAGTTTTTAATAAAGTGGACAGAACTAGAGGGCAGTGGTTCCTAATAAAGTGGACAGAACTAGAGGGCAATGGTTCCAAATAAAGTAGCCACAGACAGAGTGCAAGGGTTTCTAATAAAGTGTCCAGTGAATATAGATATAAATATTAATATATTTATTTTCAAAATTCAGCTGGGTAACGTCACAGTAATTTGTCAGCAGCAGCAGTATAGAGGTCAAGGAAGTTTCTGTGAACGTCCATCATGATAACGCTCGGTTCCATGTTAGTTTGCGTTCTTCTGAAATGCCTGTGAGCTGCACAGACCCATTAATGCTTCTGATTGATAGATCCATTTCTTGCAATAACACTCGTCCAGGCATGCTTAATGCAACATGCACATCCCAGACCGCTCAATCTTACACAAGCTAGGCCTTCGTGCCTCTTAGACTGGTGAAGATGAATGACTTCCTTGGGGAAGAGTAGAACCACAGTCATTGTATTTTTGGAGGGGCCTATATTTGACTGAAATACCTAAGAGAGCTCTTTACCCCAACTGTTGCTGTTTAACATCTAGCAACACATGCAGCGAGACGTTCTTCTGCGTGAGATTTATGTGCTATCTGGGGTTGATTTCTATGGAAAGAGGGGGTTGAGATAGTTTTGAGGAGCTGGAGCCAAATATAGTGTACATTTCCCATGAATCTGGATCCATTTACGAGAAACAGAGATGAGGTCATACTCGCTCATTTGTCAAATCAGCCTTTCTCAAACACTGCAGATTACTTATTCACAGAGCTGTTTTCTGCATCACTGCTTAACTGATAAAGAAAGAGAATGTGCCAAATACGTACAAACACAGTGGTTCTGAAAAGTATTTGGACGCTTTCACCATTGGTAAACTTTAAAGAAGTTCTGTAGGTCATTTCATAAAATGTTTAACACTGTGATATTTGTTTCAGTGAAAAACATCAGACTCTTTGTGTAGAGAGCAAATTTCTTCCAGACTGCATCCAGACAGATGGAAATGTCAACATCTGGGGCTTTTCTTACAGTGGTGTAGTTGAGCTTGTGTTCATTGATGAGATCATGAACTTAAAACATGTACAAAAGGCATTTTGAATGCAAACCTGCAGAAGTGGCTCTTTTAGCAGGATAAAGTCTGTTTAAAATAAATGCCACATTTTCCTAACACAGTGTACTTATTATATTTTAAGTATGGCATTTTAGGTGTTCAAATACCTTTTGGATCCTCTATATGGTAGGCAAACACAAAGCACATGCATATAGGAACTGTGTGCATAACCTGCACCTAAAAGCCTTCCTACAGTGGCACACACAGGACTGCTGACAAGCAAATGGTCAAGGACTCAAGTGCTGGCATATTGAAGAAGTTGTAGGCAGGATATATGGCACAAGTATAAAGGATCTGGAAACACTAGGCAGAAATGCCAATGTGAGAAATACAGCATAGCTGTAGAACTGAACGTTGGGTGGTGCCCTCTGGGACACTAGCAATGTTGTGGAGCTGAGTGCTGGTTCAGTGGTGCCCTCTGGACCTTCAGAGATGCTGTAGAGCTGCCCACCAACTCAGCGGTGCCTTTCAGGACACTAGAGCTGAGCGTTAGCTCGACTGTGCCCTCCAGGACCCTTGGCGGTGCTGTGGTGCTGGCTGCTGGCTTGGCGGTGCCCTGCGAGGCACTAGGCGGCACTGTGAAGCTGCCCTCCGGGACACTGGGCAGCACTGTGTGGCTAAGCGCCGACTTATCAGTGCCCTCTGAGGCACTAAGTCGAGCTGTGGGACCCGGAACCATCTTTACAGGGCCCTCCAGAGCTCTGAGTGGCACTGGTTCCACAGTGGAGGCTGGCAGATCAAGGGACTCAGAGGCCTACTGGTCAAGTGCAGTAGTGACATCTTAACCCACTAATGGACCAGCTTCAATATTCTCACTGGCTGAATCTGCTGTGGCCATCTTGGCAGGAAAAAGAGTAGGATCTTCATGTTTGATGAGGGAAACAGTGTCTGGTCAAATGGAATAAAGGTTTACATAACATGGCTTGTTCGGAAGGGCAGCGGCAGCTGAGAACTCCGGCTGAAGGAATAAGGGCAGCCACCAGAATGTGTTCACCAACCTCTGTCACAGTCAAACAAGCGAGTGCGAGCATGGTGTGACATTGTTTGATGGCCTGTATTTAAAATAAATGGGAAAGTTGTTTCAGTTGTTATTGTACAAGGTTGTACAAAATAAAACATGAAATAAATAAATAAATATTGAAAAAAGGTGGAATGGTCAATATATGGTGTTTCACTGGAGGGGCTCAAAGCCAGTTTGGCCCATTAGAAAGCAAATAATGTTTATGTTGTGACTTTGGCTAATAGAAAATACTGGAAATGTGATTTTCATATATTCATTAAGCCAACACAGTGTGAGATTCAAATTATAAAAAGGCCAATTTAGCTGTAAAGAAATTTGGAATTGACCATAAAAATTCCCTAATATGAATCAGCTTTTTGAATGTTGGAGCTTGTGGTGCAAGATAAATACCCATGACAACAGACAATGAAGTAATACTTTATCTTGAACTTGAAATGTATTTTGGCACCAGCAGAGACTCCCTCAGAGATTGCTCTTTCCCCTGGTGTTGCTCAGAAGAGCTCCCTGACCAGCCGCACGTTCTCCCAGCTTTTTCCGCCCACGTCTACATGTTTGAGGAGCTGCTGAGAAGTGCGGGGGAAAGGGGGAAGGGCTGGGGGTCAGCAGCGGGCATACAGCACCCAGCTGCAGAAAAGTGTCTTTGTGGCCGGCCGATCCCCCACCCGCCCTGGGCCTCTGAAAGGTGACATTGATGCTGTCCAGCAGCACAGGAAACCTGCAGAGCTAATAAGCTAACAGTTCTGCAAAGCATGACTTATCAAACAGAGTGGAGAGGGAAAACCTGTACCCTCAACTCTAAGAGATCGCTCAGAGGAGGGTTAGAGAAGTGTAAAGTCATATCAGGCCACAGGGCCCAATTCAGGTTTCAAACATTCCACATGAGGCCCGAAATCCGATGATAGGCCACGGATAGTAACTGCAGCATGTTAGCAAAGCTGAAGAAGTGGCCTCTTGCGGTATGTATAGGGTGTTTTACATGCACTGAAGCGTTTAAGGTCAGAGGCTGGAAGGCAAGCTTGGTGAAGGATATAATATACAACATTTAAAGTGAACAGAAGTGTCCCTCTAACTGCAGGGTGTCCAGTGACAGATAGTGATTACTTACTGTGTGACACTCACTTAAGACATGACCACACATACTACTCAGCCTCCCAGCAGTTCAGTGTCAGGACGTATATATACATATATATGATCATTTTGACTAGCAGTAGCGCTGCGTCTCTGCTTCGTAGATTTTTATAGCTTGTTCAACAAACATTTCTCATCTTTTCTGGAATGTAAAAAACCCAAAAATGAAAGTAA